ATCTCAGGGAGTGATCAAGGAGGTTCCAGCGGATGAAAGATTTCAGGGGTTTTATTCAAACCTGTTTACAGTCCCAAAACCAAATGGGGATACAAGGCCCATTTTAGATCTCAAGGGGCTAAATCAGTTCCTAAATAGCCGATCCTTTCGTATGGAATTAGTTTGGTCAGTAGTGGCCTCCCTACAAGAGGGAGATTTGGTGTCCATAGACATCAGGGACGTATATCTGCATGTACCAATATTCATTCCTCACCAAAGATTTCTGTGGTTTACAGTAGGGCGCTCAGCATTTCCAGTTCCTAGCACTATCGTTTTGGCTGGTCACGGCTCCCAGAGTTTTCACAAAAATACTCAGAACTCGGGGAGTATCGGTCACAGATTGTCTAGACTATCTCTTGCTCAGAAATCGGTCGGTGCCAGATCTGAAGCAGGATGTGGTCCTTACGATGCAGATCCTGGAACAGCTGGGCTGGGTGCTGAACCTCAAGAGATTGTCCCTTGAACCAGTGCAAAGCCTAAAGTGTTTGGGGATGGTCCTAGACACGATTCAGGCAAAGGTATTTCTGCCTCCAGGGAAATGTGGCACCCTGAGAAAAAGGTTTGCAGTTTGAAGGCCAAGAGGTATCCTTCGATTCCCCTCTGTATGAGGTTTCTGGGGAGAATGGTGTCCTCGCTTGAGGCTATTCCCTATGCTCAATTCCACTCCAGACCGCTGCAAAGGTACATTCTGTCTGTTTGGAACAGTGAGATTCCAGCCCTGGATTACTGCATATCTCTGTCTCTAGAGGTGCAGCAGAGCCTGAATTGGTGATTGATACCTCACAATTTGTAAAGGGAAGATCCTTTCAGCTGGTGGTGTGGAAGTTGGTAACCTTCTTTCAGGTTGGTGGGGCCATTCTGGAGGAGGCCATAGTTCAGAAAACATGGCTTCCATGGGAAAGGGTTCTTCCATCAATGTCCTGGAACTTTGAGCAGTGAGGCTGCCTCTGAGGTATTGGACATCCAGGCTTCAGGGTTTGCCTGTAATGATTCAGTCTGACAATGCCACAGCAACTACCAGGAATCGAGGTGCTCAGAAGGAGGTGAAATACATTCTGACCTGAGGAGAGAGATATGTTCCAAGTCTGTCAGCAGTGTTAATTCCAGGTGTGGAAAATTGGCAGGTGGATTATGTCAGCTGCTGGCAGTTGCTTCCAGGGGAATGGGCTTTGCATCCCGATATTTTCAAGGAAATCTGCCAGTGATGGGGTTGCCCGGATGTAGACCTATTGGCATGCAGGTTCAACAACAAGGTTGGTCTTTGTGTCCAGGGTAAGGGACCCCCGCACGGCAGGGGTAGACACCTTTACTGAGTCCTTGGAACCAGTTCTGAGTGATTAATGCCTTTCCTCTGATCCAGCTGCTGCCGTGTCTCTTACGCAGTATTCTGGAGGAGTTTATTCCGGTGTTACTGATTGCTCCGGCCTGGTACGCGGACATAGTGAAGATGGCAGTAAATGGGCTGTGGGCCCTGCCGTATCGGCCAGATCTGTTGTCTCAAGGTCTTATATTGCACCCAGCTTTACGGTCGCTAAATTTGATGGCGTGGCTATTGAAACCCAGATCCTGAAGGATAGGGGAGTGTCGGATTCTGTCATCCCCATCATGTTGGGTGCTAGAAAGGAAGTTTTTAGGAACATTTATTACAGAACCTGGATGGCTTACATTGCCTAGTGCGAGGTTCACAAATGGCACCTAAGAAAGTATGTGATTGGCAGGATTCTGTCGTTTCTTCAAACAGGGTTGCAGAGTAATTTGGATATTGGTACCATTAAGGGCAAGGTTTCAGCATTAGCTATTTTTTTCCCATTGCATCTCACTCTTCGGCATCTCATTTTTGATGCATATGGCTCCTCCTGTCCGGTTGCCTTTGTGTCCTTGGGACCTGAACTTGGTTTTGGAGGTTTTGCAAAAGCCACCATCTGAACCTATTGGAGAGATTCCACTGGTTTGGTTGACTCGTAAGGTGTTGTTTCTAGTGGCAATCGCTTCTGCGAGAAGGGTGTCTGAGCCGGCAGCTCTATCTTGCAGAGAACCATTTCTGGTTTTACATCATAAGGTGGTGTTGCGACCTCATACGTGCTTTTTACCAAAGCTTGTTTCTAGCTTTCATCCCAGTCAGGACATAGTTCTGCCTTCATTCTTTCTTCAGTCATCAAGCAAAAGATCCCAGCATACCTTGGATGTGGTTCGTGCTGTAAGGGTCTTTTTGAAGGCTACAGCACAGGCCAGGAGGTTAGATGCTCAGTTTGTGCTGCCAGAGGGGCCTAGGAAGGGGCAGGTGGCATCCAAGGTGACTATTTCTCATTGGATCCACCAATTGATCATTCAAGCCTATGGTTTTGAAAGGTAAAATCCCACCCTTTCGAGGGGCATCTTGGGAAATCCTCCATCAGTGGCATAGGTTTGCAAGGCTGCTACATGGTCTTCGGTTCACACATTCACAAGATTCTACCAAGTGGATGTCAAGGCGGCAGAGGATTATGCAGTTGGCCACAGTGTTCTACGGGTGGCTGAGGGATTATGGATGGTGGCTGTCATGGTGTCACCCTCCCCTCAAATTTCTTATTGCTTTGGGACATCCAACTATGGTGCCCTTTTATCATGCGGTGGTAAATGACCGCTGCTCAGTTCTCTGGCATTCCTAGAGAACACAGTTCTCTGAATGCCTGTTCATGAAGCAGTGTAGATCGCTTCTAATGAGGAGAGAAGTGATCTACAAACGCTGAATGCTGGAAAACGGCTGCTGTTACTATAATCTCGCGAGATTACAGTAAGAGATCAGTCAACACACAGTTTACTAAGCGGTAAATTACCTCTGCTTTGTTTGCTGCTCCCCGATTCTCCACCTCGGCTGGAGAATCTGGAGGGAGAATTTTCACAGTTTGCCAGTGAAGGGCTGACATTGCTCCTTCATACACTGGCCGTGTCTGTCAGATTCTCTGTGTGCTGAGATGATCAGCGGATAACATGTTCTCCGCTGATCATCTCTGTTTCCTAAACCACTAATGATCTGAGATCAGCAATGATCCTTAGGATCGCCACTGATCTCAGTTTCATAAGAGGACCCCATAGTCACGAATAGCCTGCTTTGTGTCCCGTGATGTATGATAAAGAAAATTGGATTTTTTTCTACATACTTACCTATAAAATCCATTTCTTGGAGTACATTACGGGACACAGAGGTCTCACCCCTATTTCTGGAATGTTTATTGCTTGCTACAAAAAATACTTCCTGTATAGGAAAGGTTATATAGGGGAGGAACTCCTCTCTGATTGGTCGGCCAGTGTCCATTCACAAAAATGGATTTTTACAGGTAAGTATGTAAAATCTGAAAGCACGTGACCAGTAGAATAAAAAGATGGTGCTACTGATTTTTTGTAGGCACCACAATAGTTTAAATGTTTATCAACTCGCTATTTTCACTAACAAAAAAAACACTAAAGTCCTTATTTGCAGCCAAAACCACAACATAACTTCCAACATTCCTGCTAAATTCCTACTAAGCCCTCATTCAATGGGAAGCACTAAAGCGTATGTCCATGGAGGGCCGTGTTTACCCGCAAGGAAATGCACAGGTAGTCCTATTCATGTCAGCTGGGATGCAGCAGCTGCATGGACAGATCTGACATCCATGTGGGTGTAGGTCCATTGCCCAAAACGCAGTGTTCAGGGATATACACCCACATGGATGTCAAGTTGGGAGCAGTGGCTGTCTTGTTGCAGCCACTGTGTCCCAATTGATATAGACGGGACTACCTGCACAGGAATGCATGGAACATCTGTGCGTTCCCATGCAACCACTGCGTCCAAATTACCATCAATGGGACTGCCTGCATGGGGATGCATGGAACACGTGTGCATCCCTTTGCAGCTAAACAGGGCTCCGCTGTAGTATGCCCCACATGAATGAGGCCTTTGGCCTTGTTTAGACATGCAGTTAGGGGCAGTAAAAATGCGTGGACATGCTGGGTTTTTGCTGCCTGCCAAACACCCCCCTTAAGTTGCAATAGGCAATGGACAGGGTGATGATGCCACCATGCTCCAGAAGAAAGGGAGATTTAGACGCATGTCTAAATCTACCCTTACTATGTTTTTTTATTTAAATGGTACATTTTTGTTATTTTTTGAAGGGGGGGGGGGGGCTCTGGAGAGACAACAGGGGTCTAAACAGACCTGTAATGTCTCTCTTTTTTTGAGGACTGAAGACAGCTGCTCTTGCAAGGTGGGCAGGGCTGCCATTCATTCTGGCAAAGGCACCCCCACGCATCTTAGCTGTCTGTATTCATTGAGGAAAGGTAGGGGGCTGGTAAACACATCTGCGATCTGTCAGCGGCTACAGCCAGTGGCAGGGGAAGTAGGGAGAGCCAGCAAACAGCTTCAGGGAGGTGTGCCCTGATACAGGAAAGGTGGGGGGGGCCAGAGCAGCGTGGGGGGGGTATCTGGTCTTCCATTTGGATCGCTCTGTGGCTGTTCTTCAGCACTGAAAATCAGCGGGAGAGGCAGAGTAGGGAAGCTGACAGCCACAGAAGGATCATGGTTTATGAGGGGGGGGGGGGGATCGGTTCTGAAACAACCCGATCCTATTATTGAGATCTGCCCAGATGCCTGATCAGCAGCTAGCTCAGCCTCACAGCATGCCACTGAGATGCTGAGCTTGCCACTCTTCTCCCTCCACAGCTAAGTGCTCCGAGTGCTGGAGGGGGGGGGGAGCAGAGAGCCGGTGACTGACACCCTCTGCTCACTGAAGACAGAGAACTGAGCAATCAGCGTGGGTTGATCGCTCAGTTCTCGGTCTTAGAGGCAGTGGGGGACAGATGCAGTATGGATTGATGCTGCATTCACCTAGGTGAGTATAAATGTTTGTTTTTTCCCCAAACGTTTAAAATCAAATATTCACTTTTGAATAAATATTTCAATAACTGTACTGAGATCGTAACAATTTCCTTGATTTCTCTAGGTAGGAATTGGCCGAAATAACACTCTGTACGCACTAGAGGATGGCATTGTACGTTACACCAAAGAAGTCTATGTACCAAGACCTCGTAGCAGTGATGGTATCAAAGTTATCCCCAAGCTACCTATGGGCGCAGTTCTATATAAAACCTTCATTAATGTCATTCCGGAGCCTAAAGAACATAGCTTTAAATTGGTGGAAATGATGTGAGTGGTAATCATCATGTAAATAACATTTATTTAATTAAACTGCTTTCTAAGAAAGATTGTGGTCTTTCCCTTATTTGTGAAGGTTTCTACAGTCTTGTAAATCTAATAAAAAACAAAAACCAAAGAAAACATGCTACTGGTTCTTTAACGCCGACACCTTTCGACCCTTTATAAGGGGTTTCTGATGCCAAGAGGGGGGTTTTATGATCCCGTAACCACCTCCATTGGCTGTCACACGATTGTAAAGCTCCTGATCGCAAGTAGTGATTGGGAGTTTTCCATTAGGCACCAATAACTGTGCCGGGAGTGTGCAGGGCGCATGCTCTCGGCACAGGTTGGTTTACGTTTTGGTACGCATATATACAACCATCTCGTTGTCAGGGCCCGCCTGCCAGAGAGTGCATATATATGTACTGGCGGCACAAAGGAGTTAATGTTAGTGTTTATTTGTGCCTGCCGGTGTTCTCGAATACTTAGTTAAGCCTGTCTGTGCTGCTCCTGAGAGTAAACTGACCATGCTAAACATGGCAGTCAATCCATGCTAGCCCCGGTCAGTTTACACCTTGTGTCATCTCGCGCTGTCTGTACAGGCATGCTGTGCAAGAGTACAGCATGTCTGTACAAAGCCACTCCCTCCGCACACCAATCCCTCGTCTTCAGTTACAGTGAATTCACTTCCAGCTGCTCCTCCCCTCCTGAATAACTGCGGGGTATAAGCGTTTCATTGCCTTGGAAACTCAGGCACCTGGCAGCCATCATCATTTCCTCCAGTGATGCCCCACAGGGTACATACCCACCAGTAGGTGTGTGAATCAGTTGGGGAAAATACAGCTATCACGTCACCTATTCTTTACAAGTTGACTTTTAACCCCTTCACCAAAAGGATATACCCATACGTCGTTTGGTTTTAGTGGTTATACCGGAGCTGCAATCATAGCCTCAGTATCAATTGTTTTCAGCCAGCGATGCTGAATAAATTAGAAGCGATCCAATCGGCTAAATAGCCGCTGGATCACTTTTACAGGTGGCCGAAGGGGGTCCTTCCAGCCACCTTTACAGGCTCACCTGTCCCACTGGGGAGCCTGGGACTGAAGCTGGCGGTTTTGCTGGCTCACCATAGAGATGTGTGAGAACAAGAATATCCCTGATCATCTCTATGGTCTAAGAAACCCGAAGCTTCCGTTTTTGGCCTAATGTAATCAGGCGGTTACCGATCTCCGTTTGATCTGGTGTGTTCAGGACCAGAAGGAGGGATCTGGGGTATAATAGTTAAATGAACCGGTCACTGCCCATCCTATCACACCATCACATATAATTTAAATAAAATTATATAATCTGTGGTTGGTGTTTTCTGATGATATGGAGTGTATGAATTATTATGCATTTGTATGTATTTCCTAGGATTCAGCTATATTTTATATATATATATATATATATTATTATAGATAGTGATAGGAAGTGCTAGGATGATGTAATACCTTTCATCTTCCAGTAGATGGCATTGAGTTCTCACTGTATGACACAGGGGCCTCTACTGATCTATTTGTTCTTTGGATTTGAGAGGAAGGAAGTTCTGGGGGAATGGAGCTTCCAGGAGGCATTTGATTTGGGTGTAAGTTCTCTGGCACCCATATTAGATGTGGTAAGGCACTGGAGCAGTAAATAAAAAATAGCTTCCTTCTCCCTTTTTGTGCTGCTGAACATGAGTGCAATTACACTATACGTAAACCCTCAAACTTGTAAAAACAACCCATACAGTTTAAAATAGAATTGAAAGGCAAAACGTGTAGATATAAAAAAAAAAGAAAACCTCTCCCCCCTTTTAAAAAGTTACCATATACCCTCTGTTCTCAATTGCATAAGGAGCTGAGAGCTGGGGGAGGAGAAACAGCAGCACAGTTACCTTCCCAGTGAAAGGCTGTGGGGGGGAGGGGGGGGGTTATTATACTAAATGTGGGGATAGCTCTTGAGCCTTAAAGATCAACTCTGGGCATCACCCTCCTCAAAAAACACCCCTACCATCACTGACACCTCCCCGCCTCCCCCAAACCATGAGCTGGGTGTGCTGGCCATACATTGGGGTATATATAATATTCTGTAGAGTACAGGTAGGAAGAGGACACTTCCTCCCTCCCCTGCCATCACACGACATGCCCGATAAACAAGATCGATCACATCTGTCACATTAAAATGTCTGCCAGGTGAGGGGTTGGCAGTGTTTGGCTCCTCCCCCCAGGCCCATCACTGAGCTGTGAGACAGGCGCATGTGAAGTAAGCACAGAGGGTACAGAACTCTGCTAGACCAGGCCTCCTCTCTCTTGTCCATCCAAGGTGTCCTATGGGATGGATGAGAGTAGAGGCGGCAGGGATCAAGAGCACTTCGGAGGGTCAGCAAGGCACGGATGCCATGAACGGGTTGCTGACCCCCCACATGTAATATGTGTGCTCATACTCTGCTTGCTCACAATAAATCTGGCCCCACAGCAGCTATGAGCTTCTTTCCTAATATTTTCTGGACAATAAAAACACTGGAGAGAGATGAGAGCTGCAACATCCACATCATGACACCCCAACACCCTACTAGGACAACCCATAACCTCCTGCTACACCCCAAAACTAGGGAGGTGACAGCTGACATCCCAACACCCTACTGGGACAGCCCATAACCTCCTGCTACATCCCCAAAACTGGGGAGAGGTGACAGCTGACATCCCAACACCCTACTGATATACCCTATTGTATTCTAAAACTGGGGAGAGGCAACAGCTGACACCCTGGCAAAATCACTTCCATCTTACTGCACCCCAACACTGGAGAGAGGTGACAGCTGACACCCTAATACACCTTGCACAGCCCACTACTACACTCCATAACACCCGACTATTCCCTGCACCCTAACACTATAGAGGACAGCTGACACCCCAAAACCAAGATACACCCCAACATCCTGAGACAACCTGCTACAACAGAGGACACCCTACTTTACCCCGGAACTGGAAAGGACAACTAGCACCCCTATGAGATCCTTCTACACCCCAACACCTTAAGTCCCCTTCTACACCTCATAACACCTTGCTGTACCCTAAACTGGAATGAAGTGACAGCTGACACCTCCATACACCCTACTTATATACCCTGAGACACACTATTACACCCCAACACTGGAGAGCGGAAACAGCTGACACCTCTATACCTTACTCAAGGACCCCAACGCAGGTGTGGTGTTCAGGCCTAGGACTTCCCTTTCACCTAAGGTAGGCTTGGTCTTTCACCTCGACCAGGGCATGGTTCTTCATTCCCTCTACCCGGCTCCATTTCACCCCAACATTTCTCTCCACTGCATAAAATTTGGGCTGTGAGCGTTTATGTCCCAGTTGCTGATTTATCAAGAAAGATAAGGAGTTTGTAATTCTAAATGGACTCTGGCTGCTACCTGATCTTCTGTTCACACATTTTAATCAGGTGGATGTTGAAGCCTCATCTGATGCATGGGGTGTAACATGCTTCAGGTGGCTCTTTGAGCTGCAGGCGGTCCCTAGTTTACTTATTTTTTTTCTTGGGCCTTTTTGCATTTGTTTGCCCTCACTTACCTCTCAGTTTGGGCTGCTTTTGGACATCCTGAAGGTTAAAGCATTCCTGCATTCCAATACGGAGAAGAGAGGGGCAAAAAAAAAAAAAAAAAAAAATAAAATATATTTATTTTAGGAACCATAAACTTCACGGACTCCAAAGGGGGACACAGGTCCCACCCCTTTGCATTTGTGGTCATGCTCTTTATACGGTTTGGCTAAAGACATTCTGGTAGGAGGAAGGGCTGACCTACAATTTATTTTTCTACCCGCTGTCCAATCCTGTAAGTAGCAGCATAACCCAAAGGTTAAAGATTTCCTGTGTCTCTCAAAGGACTCCCAAAAAAAAGGATTTGACTGGGAATACAAAAATCCTTAAACCACTTGCTAACCACCCGCCTGCATTTTACAGCTTGTACAGTCACAATAACGTACCTATACGTCAGCAGCAGCCTCCGGGATCAGGGCGTGTGGACTCTCGCTGTGATTGGACACAAAGATTTTATCAGCAGGTTTTAGCCAATGGTCCATGGCTGAGACCTGCTGATTGGCTGTGGCCAATCACAGCCCAGAGCCTTGTGTTGTCAAACAGCACATGGTCTCTGTCCAGAGGGAACAAAGCAGGGAGAAGGAACAAACATATTTAGTAAAAGGCAGCACATAATACACACAGCAACTGCCCCACTCTATAACTAGCCTTTAAGTAAGGAGCACATGGAAGGGTGACAACAGAGAGATTCCCAGCTCAACTTACCAACCAACCTGCAGCCAACCGAAGTGTCCTGTCTAAACCAGTCTGCAGCCAACGGACGTGTCCTGTCTAACAGTTCATGGTAAAAAAACGGGGTTAGTTTGCAGAAATTTACAAATACGGGAGTTAGGAACTTTAAATGTGTGCAAACTATACCCTTTTTTAACATGAACTGTAAGGACAATTCGGCTGGTTGGTAAGTTGAGCTGGGAATTGTTCTCTGTTGTTGTTTGACACATTACACATTGTTAGGTAGTTAACCCTCTAATTGCCCCTAGGTGTTAATCCCTTCCCAGCCTGTTTTATTAGTACAGTGACAGTGTATAGTATTAAAAAACAAAAAAAACACAACAAAACACACACAAACAAACAAAACACAAAAACAAAATAAACACAAAACAAAACACACACACAAAAAAAAAAAACACACAAAAAAAAAAAAAAAAAAAAAAATAATACATAAAACAAAAAAAAAAAACAAAAAAAACAAAAAAAAAAAAAAAAAAAAAAAAAAAAAACACAAAAAAAAACAAAACAAAACAAACAAATAAAAAAAAAAACACACATACAAAAAAAAAACAAAACAAAAAAAACAAAACAAATAAAAAAAACAAAACAAAACATATAAAAAAAACAAAAAACAACAAAAACAAAATAAAACACAAAACAAAAACAAAAACACAAAAAAAAAAAACACAAAAAACATACATATAAACACAACACCAAACACACACACACAAAACACATAAACAACAAAAAAAAAAAAAAAAACAAAAAAAAACAAAAACCCAAAAAAAACAAAAAAAAAAAAAAAATATACACACACAACATAAACACAAAAACAAAAAAAAAACAACAAAAAAAAACAAAAAACACACACACAAAAACAACACACATACATATACACACACAAACATATACACACACACACAAAAACACACACACACAAATACACACACCCACACATACACAAAACAAAAAAAACAAAACACATACATAAACACACACAAACACACACACACACATAAAACACACACACACAAATACACACACACACACAAAACACACAACACACAAAAAATACACACACACACACAAATATACACACACACATATACACACACACACAAACACACACACACATAACACACACACACAAATACACACACACACAAATACACACACACACATATACATACAAAACACACACATATACATACATACACACACACACACACAGGTCCATATATATTTGGACACAGGCATCATTTTAAATTTTATGGCCTGTAAGTGCACACTCTCAGGTTTAATTTGAGGGTATGTACAGTCAAATTGGAGGAAGGGTTTAGGAATTACAACTCTTAAGGAGTAGCCATCTCCCCCTTTTTTTTTTAATGGGCAGCACAGTGGCTAAATGGTTAGCACTTCCACCTGGCAGCATTAGGGTCATTGGTTCCAATCCCAACCATGGTACCACCTGCCTGGAGTTTGCATGTTCTCCCCGTAACTGCATGGGTTTCCTCCGGTTTCCTCCCTCACTCCAAAGACATGCGGGTAGGTGAATTGTCTCCTGTCTAAATCGTCCCTAGTATGTGTATGTATGAATGTGAGTTAGGGACCTTAGATTGTACGCCCCTTGAGGGTTAGGGACTGATGTGAATGTACAATATAAATGTAAAGTGCTGAGTAAATTTACAGCGCTATACAAGTACCTGTAATAAATAACGGACCAAAAGTAATTGAACAATTGAATATCATCATAAATAAAATGTTAATTTTTAATATTTTGTTGAGAATCCTTTACTGGCAATGACTTCCTAAAGTCTGGAACCCATGGACATTACCAAAGACTGGGGTTTCTCCTTTCTGATGGTTTGCCAGGCTCTAACATGTTACATGCTCCTAATGTTTTTAGGATTGAACATGTAACATGTGACTGCTCCTGCGGCCTCCCTGGATCCCCCAGCTAATTGTGACAGTGGGCTGGGGATCTTCTCCCTGTGCTCACCGTCACAAATTAACAAGAACGCATCTGTACAGTGTCCTGCCCACACGGACACATAATTAATTCCCCGAGTTCTGTGAATGAAAAAATACATGTACCAAGAGAATTTGTGGCTGAATGCTTGTAGTTCTCAATGAACTATCGGGGCGATAGTGAGCACTCTAGGTAGTTCATTGATGCTTCCTGTCATTATGTAATTGTCTGCCTGTAAGAGGTACGGACAGACAGCTTACACTGACAGTCTGCAGGAGCCCTGCACTGCACCCCGAGATCTGCTGATCATGAGTGTAATCCTTTACAGGCTCAAAAAAAAAAAAAAAAAAAAAAAAAAAAACAGCACACAAACAAGAACAACAAATGCACATTTTTTTTTACCTGCAAAAAAAAAAAAAGTGCTATTATGTTTGTAAAAGGTGAACTTATTTAAGATTGTGTTCTGATCCAATTGCAAAGGTCACTCTCATTATCTCTCTCTCATTTTTAGCCAGCACCAATAAGGATACTTTTTGATCATATGGTTTTAACTTAGGGAGAGCAATGTATGTAATTAGCATATTTGCTCACTCTCTCTCCCCTTTCCTATTTTGTTGCACATTAGGAAGAGTGATCCTAACGCAAAGGACAATGGTTACCCTAATTTTCATACTTTTCTGTTTTGCTCAGCCCTCTCTCTCCCCTTTCCTATTTTGTTGCACATTAGTGGCTGAGTGTTCTGATCCTATCGCAAAGGACAATGGTTACCCTAAAGTTTCATACTTTTCTGTTTTGCTCAGCCCTCAAAAAGTGTGGGATTAGTCAATCCCACAATTTCTTGAGTGCAAAAAGTTTGGTTGATGAGGAGTACTACACTCAGGAAAAGTCTGACCTCTAGTGGCTGTGATGAAGTGCTATACTAAAGGTCTGACCTCTAGTGGCTGTGATGAAGTGCTACACTCAGGAAATGTCTGACCTCTAGTGGCTGTGATGAAGTGCTACACTAAAGGTCTGACCTCTAGTGGCTGTGATGAAGTGCTATACTAAAGGTCTGACCTCTAGTGGCTGTGATGAAGTGCTATACTCAGGAAAAGTCTGACCTCTAGTGGCTGTGATGAAGTGCTACACTCAGGAAATGTCTGACCTCTAGTGGCTGTGATGAAGTGCTACACTAAAGGTCTGACCTCTAGTGGCTGTGATGAAGTGCTATACTCAGGAAAAGTCTGACCTCTAGTGGCTGTGATGAAGTGCTACACTCAGGAAAAGTCTGACCTCTAGTGGCTGTGAAGTGCTATACTCAGGAAACGTCTGACCTCTAGTGGCTGTGATGAAGTGCTATACTCAGGAAAAGTCTGACCTCTAGTGGCTGTGATGAAGGGCTATACTCAGGAAAAGTGACCTCTAGTGGCTGTGAAAGTGCTACACTCAGGAAAAGTCTGACCTCTAGTGGCTGAGATGAAGTGCTACACTCAGGAAAAGTCTGACCTCTAGTGGCTGTGATGGAGTGCTACACTCAGGAAACGTCTGACCTCTAGTGGCTGTGATGAAGTGCTATACTCAGGAAACGTCTGACCTCTAGTGGCTGTGAGGAGTACTACACTTAGAAAAAGTCTAACATCTAGTGGATTAGGGAGAGTTAGCGCATTTTGCTTAAGACAGATCGACATTTAAAGTTATGATGACAAGTAGTGATTTAGTGGCTATAACATAACGTTTATTAAGACTTTTTCACGCCATAAAAATGACATTAATAAAGTGCTTTGCGTCACAAAGAGTGATAACGGGCACACTAGCCTGTGGCGCCAGCCCCTGCCAGTCTACACAGGTGGCTGCACCACGCAGGCAACCTTTGGTAATTGGTTTAAACCACTAAATCAACCATTCTGAAAACAAATGCAAGAATTTCGTTAGTGGTGCTAAAAAAAGTACCGTTTGTTAACAGAAATTAACTTTAACACAGAGTCCACAATGACGGAACCTTCATACCACAGTTAGTCATGTGATCCAATTATGAAACATCACAGACCCAATAAAGATGGCACCAAAACCACCTTTTGGGCAGCTGTGGCTGGAAGGCAGACAGCCATGTGACCAGAAGCCACCTGCTAGTAACCAATTTGAGTGGCAGCTGATCACCTTTATCTGCCTTCCAACGTGAGGTGCATGGTAGGTAGTCCTTGTCGCATCTCTACCTATTCTGCACGTGCAGCTTTCTTCTTTGCTTCACCGTACAAGTCCACAAGTCAGTCATCCATCTGAGGAACCAGCCCCTTCAGGAATAGTAGTGTCCACCCAGGTTGTATTTGGTCATTTCAGATCTGTTTCATAGCAGCAGATACAACCCCAGCCAGAAACCTATTTGGCACACATGGGGGAAATTGCTGGACCAGCTTGGCACGCTCTGACGAGCAAATGGGAAATGATGAGGAATGTCAAGTGGCCTTTATTTGGCCCTCATAGAACGGGGGAAACTATGTAAACAGATTCAACTTGTTTTGTCACTTCGTACCAGGCAGAAAACAGCTCAAGCTTTTGTTTTATCCACAGATCTGCGACACAGGCAAAAACACAGATTGTCCCCCCGTCGAGATACCATGAACCGCAGTCCTCCACTGTGCTGGGAATTCCTGCTACCTTGAGCGGCCATCATGTCCGGCAGGCCCCAGCTCAGACTTTGGGTCCGGAGACATGGAACTCCAGTGTGTGTCAGAACAGATGGGAAGGGACGGGCAAAACGAGGAAGCAGTTTTGGTGCAAACGCCTCCGATAGACCAAAAGCTGCTTAAACCATCATCTGTCCATTTCTCCAGATCTTTACCCAGTAGCTCAGACCTCCGATTGGCCTCCTGTTCGACTTCAACCCGTGGGGGTAAATTTAGGATTCCACTGAGTGCTTGAAAATTTTGCTCCATGTACTGACCCCGAGATGGGCCAGCATGCAGCCAGCGGTCACCTGAAAAAAGAAAAAAAAATGATTACGCAAACATGTCACATATTTACCATCATTCCACCACAGAAGGGATATTTAAAGAGACGACACCACTGACCCTATTCAATACCCAAATACCAGCATTGTGCAGAAACCTGTGCTGGCTTGGCTGAGATCAGTGTGATTATTATTATACAGGATTTATATGGCGCCAACAGTTTGCGCAGCGCTTTACAATATAAAGGGAGACAATACAGCAACAATACATTTCAGTACAGAAGGAATGTGAGAGCCCGGCTCGTGGAGCTTACAATCTAAAGGAAGGGGGAGGTGATAGCTGCGGGGGATGATCTGGTGGAGGTGATTCAGGTACAGTTCTTAGGTGGAGGTGGGGTAGGCTTCCCTGAAGAGGTGAGTTTTCAAAGATCGCCTAAAGGCAGACAGGGTGGCTGCTGACCGGACATGCTGTGGTAGGGAGTTCCAGAGGATGGGAGAGGCTCTGGAGAAGTCCTGGAGGCGAATGTGGGAGGAGATGATGAGGGAGCTAGAGAGGAGGATACCATGGGAGGAGCGGAGTGGGCGATATCTGTGGATCAAATTGTTTACACGTTATCTGACTGTAAATGTACAGTACTGGGCCTTTAACTGTGTCTAACACATCAAAGACCTTGGAAATACAGAGGGGGCAGGTGTCAAGCAAGTAAACAACAAAGCTAGATGAAAATCAGGCTGCTTCTTCTCTATTCAGCAAAGTCTTATCAACAAACCCCCCCCCCCCCCATTTTTTTTTTTCTTCCCCACTTATCTGATGCTGAGAAGGCCATAGCTGAGATATCCACCCACACAGTAGATCCAGCGTTGTCCTTCCGAGATACTCTTCTCTGCAGCCTCCATTCCTTTGTGACGTCACTGGGAGGCTGCGTCGCCTCATCTGGGTTCTGGCACGGCCTACCGATGACATGCCCCCCTCCTTCGTTACTGAATGGGGTGACATGTGGGGCTCCCAGTGCCTCCTAGGATATTAACATCACATATTCCAGGAGGTGCCAGGGGCACTGTCATCAATTGCCTAAGGCAGGGGTGTCAAACTGGCAGCCCTCCATCTGTTGCGAGTAATGCAGGTGTAATGAGTAATGCTGTGATTGCACTGCACGCATACGTAAATTGTGATTGCACCGCGCGCATACGGAAATTGTGATTGCACCGCGCGCATACGGAAATTGTGATTGCACCGCGCGCATACGGAAATTGTGATTGCACCGCGCGCATACGGAAATTGTGATTGCACCGCGCGCATACGGAAATTGTGATTGCACCGCGCGCATACGGAAATTGTGATTGCACCGCGCGCATACGGAAATTGTGATTGCACCGCGCTCATACGGAAATTGTGATTGCACCGCACGCATACGGAAATTGTGATTGCACCGCGCGCATACGGAAATTGTGATTGCACCGCGCGCATACGGAAATTGTGATTGCACCGCGCGCATACGGAAATTGTGATTGCACCGCGCTCATACGGAAATTGTGATTGCACCGCGCGCATACGTAAATTAAACTTTTTGATGTAGGAGAGGAATGTCAGACTGGCGGCAGTGGTTAATGTAATGCGGGTGAGCCAGGTGTGCAGGAGCATTGCAATGATTCCTATTAGCGCAGGGTGTCAAGCGCCCTCCATCTGTTGGGAAACTACAAGTCCCATCATGCCTCTGTCTTTGGAAAGTCATGCTTGTAACTGTCAATCTTGCAATGCTTCATGGGACTTGTAGTTTGGCAACAGCTGGAGGGCCGCCAGTTTGACACATGTGGCCTAAGGGAATGATGGGGGTGGGGGGGGCGGAGGGACAAAACTTTGCACAGAGCAGCCCCAATCCTCCTCTTCTGGCCCCCACTGGCACTCCTGGCCCCTTCCTCCTACCTAGTGCCCCCATAGCAAGCAGCTTGTTATGGGGGAACACAACCAGGCTGTTTCAGCCAATCACAAGAGAGACCCGGGTGAACCAAAAATCTTGCGCACATCACTGGATCGAGAGGGGGCTCAGGTAAGTTTTAGAATGCATGAAGTTAAAAAACCAGGAGCCTTTACACTTTAAGGCTTCATTTAGACATGTGTTTAGGGGCGTAGCAAAAATGCGTGGATGAGCTGCAATTTTGCCACCCGCCAACTGCTCAATCGTTAAGCTGCATTAGGCAGTTGACAAAGATGTTTCCATGCCACAGCTGCGATGCTTTGCAAAGTTCACCTGAAATGTAGTGATGGGCAGGTGAACGCCACACATTGAAGTAGATAGGGAAGCACCGCAAACGTGCTGCTAGTAATACCTGTGAAGACAGACTGAGCTCTGCAGTCACTTTTGCAGCCGTTGCTTTTTTATTCCGGTTTACAACCCTGCGCAATGTCCTTTTGTCTCTTTCGACCGCACCTACGCTGATCAGATGACGTTTTTATAACCATCATAACCTTTGAGCATCACAGAAAATAAATCGGCAACTTCAATCACAGCGGCACCAGCTAAGCGGCACCAACCATTTGCCCTCTTTGAAGCTCATTAAGCTCTGATACGACTCCATATCACTAGCAGCGCACACAGTGAACGACGAAAGTGAGGCTTCCCACATGTTAGCTAGGTGTCTCATCACACAGCGGACGCAAAAGAATGTTACATCACTTTCGCTTTCAAGGTGAAACATGTCGTCACTTTCACACCTGCAAATCATGTAGTGTTTCCATATTTTTGTCTAACCCCTGTATTCCTAAATAGCCAATTGAGACAGATTTTTGACTTTTTACTCAAAATGAGACATAATAGCACTCTGAACAGATGTACAATTAAAGTAGAACTACAGGCAGTCCCTGACTTGCAAATATCCGACTTACATACGATTCATACTTAAAGCGGAGCTCCACCCAAAAGGAGAAGTTCCGCTTTAAGGACTGCTCCCCCCCTCCCCATTAAGGATTAGCACCTTTGGGGGGCGGGGGGAATTTGACAGGTACCCGCTCCCACTTCCGGTCCGATCGCCTAGGCAATCAGAAGCGGAGGGTGTCCTCCCTCCCTGTAGTCTTTTGGGACATGTGACAGGTCCAAGAAGACTACAGGACCATTCAGGAAGTGCAGTGCTACTTGCGCATGCGCAGTGGGTACCCGGCTGTAAAGCCGCAAGCTATCACAGCCGGGTGCCCCCACTGAAGATACCGGCCTCCTGGAATACAGGACGGCCAGTGAAACGGGCTGCGAGGGACACACCACGGGACCGAGGGACAGGTAAGTGGCTGTTTTTTAAACGTCAGCAGCTACAGTTTTTGTAGCTGCTGACTTTTTATTTTTTGATAGGTTGAGTGGAACTCCGCTTTAAGAACGGAGGCAGTGTGCCGTCACTCCTGGAAACCGGCAGGCGGCCATCTTGCTGCTCACCACATGCTGCCACCTACAGCCCAGTGGATCTGTCAGCAATCCCACATCACTGCATGGCCAGTTAACCCTTCCTATGCTATCCCAAACTTAAAAGTGTTTTTTTTGGCTGGAGTTGCACTTAAAAAAATGTACCTGTTCCAACTTACAAACAAATTCAACTTCAGAACAAACCTACAGAATCTTGTCCTAACCCAGGGACTGCCTGTATACGCAAAACCTGTCTTTTAAATTTTGGATTGATTAATGGAGGGCTAAAACCCATCAGGTTTATTTTTTCTCATCCAAGTCCCACTGGGGAGAATTCCATTCACTTCTTGTCCCAAAGCTGAAACAGGATGTGAGAGAAACCCCTCCAAAGTGAGGAAATCCCTGATTGTTCCTAGAAGTGTTGCCTTTGGAAGATTTCCTCTCTACTTCTGTTTTGGTGACAACCTGAAATTCGGGGTTTTCCCCTTCCAGTAATAATGGTAAACAGGAGAAGGGGAATTTCCCCAGCGAGGGGCACAGACAGCAATAAAAATGTGGCAGGTGTTCCCCAGCGGTTCTCAACCTTCCTAACGCCGTGACCCTTTAATACAGTTCCTCATGTTGTGGTGACCCCCAACCATAAAATTATTTACCCAGTAATTATAATTCAAGAGTGTCTTTTACCTCCAATACTGCTGCTTTCAACACAGTAGCTGCTTTCTACACAGCAGCTGCTTTCTACACAGCAGCTGCTTTCTACACAGCAGCTGCTTTCTACACAGCAGCTGCTTTCTACACAGCAGCTGCTTTCTACACAGTAGCTGCTCTTTACACATCGGAAATATGTGTTTTCTGATGGTCTTAGGGGACCCCTGTGAAAGGGTCGTTCGACCCCCAAAGGGATCGCGACCACAGGTTGAGAACCACTGCTCTACTGTATCAAAAAAAAAAAACCAAAGAAACAAAAAACAAACATTCAGCCACAATCTTTCACTTATATGCCTCCTATATTTCCGATTGTGTGGCCCTACTTTACTAATACCCACCAATGCCATTTCACCGATTAGCTAGTATCACCAAGGCAGTGTCTGGAGCAGGGGCGGACTGACAAGTCATGGGGCCCCCGGGCAATAAGGGATCATGGGTCCCCTGTAGCCTTGCCCAAACTAAAAAAGCCTTGAAAAAGGTACACATTTCATGGGGCCCCCTACTGACCCCAGGCCCTCGGGCAGTGCCTGAGTTTCCAAACGGTCAGTCCGCCCCTGATCTGGAGTCTGATCTATCGCACACAAAAGTCCTAACAGCAATAAAATGTGTACAGTACAACAGATGTAAGGATTCAGGCCTCACCTCCCTGCAGCGGTTCCTTGTTTCTATAGGTCAGCGGTATCACAAAGAATTTGACTTCTGCCAGCAGCTCCCAGAAATGCAGTAAGCGGACCTTCCACACACCAGGACGCAGGGGGCGCGACAGCGGTGGTTTGTATTGTGTGAAATCTGCCTCAGAGTCAACCGAGATGTCGTAGGAAGCGGCTATTATGTACGTCGGATCAATCCAGACCACAGTAACTGTCACATTTACTCCATGGCTCCATTTCTGAACAGCCACAGGCTCGTCCATAGGACCAATCAGGCCTCCAAAATTCCGGAAGATCCTCTCCTTGGGGTCCCATTCAGTGCCCACCTGTGACATAATCACATTATTAAATGGTGAGAAATGACAGAAGTGGAGTTAGTTATTTATTTCAGGTACTTATATAGTGCTGTCAATTTACGCAGCGCTTTACATATATATTGTACATTCACATCAGTCCCTAACCCTCAAGGGGCGTACAATCTAAGGTCCCTAACCCTCACATTCTATCCCTAACTCACATTCATACATACACATACTAGGGACAATTTAGACAGGAACCAATTAACCTACCAACATGTCTTTGGAGTGTGGGAGGAAACCGGAGTACCCGGAGGCACAGGGAGAACATGCAAACTCCAGGCAGGTGGTGCCGCAGTTGGGATTCGAACCGACGACCCGAGTACTGCCAGGCGGTATGAAACACAGAACACTCCCTAATTGGCAGAGAGTAAAAATCTGTATTTTTTGCTAGAAAATTACTTAGAACCCCTAAACATTATGTATTTTTTTTAAAGCAGAGGCCCTAGAAAATAAAATGGCGGAAATTCTTTGTCACATGGTATGTGTGCAGTGGTTTTCCCAATGCAATCTTTTGGGGAAAAAACACACCTTTTTTAAATTTTAAATGCACAAAAACACAATAGAATATCCAATTGTTTGGTACCATATAAAAGATGATGATTTTATGCTGCGTAAATAGATACCAACATGTCAAACACGACGCTTTAAAATTGTGCACACCCGTGCAACGGCGATGCACTACGTAAATTTTATTATCCATAGGGGATGCTTTAAAAGCGTTTACAGGTTATCATTTTAGATTTACACAGGAGGTCTGGTGCTAGAATTACTGCCCACAATCTGACGTTCGCAGTGATGCCGCACGTGTGCTGCAATAGCTGTTTACGTATATGTGCAGGACCGACGCATGTCTGCCTTTGTGCGCAAGCATGCGGGAGACATGGGCACTGTCAAAAAAAAAATTAAAAAAATGTTAATTGAATCACTCTTATTGCCATCACAGGGAATATAAATATCCCCTGTGATAGCGGTAGGCAGTGACAGATACTCTTTACTGAGAAATCTAGGGTCTATTAGACCCCAGATCCATCCTCTGCCCTTCACAGCATCTGATCACACCAAGATCAGGGTGATTAAATGTTTTCCCAATGTAAAAATGGCCCTGTATACATCCAGGAACAACAGAAGGGAAGAATGCTAATCGCTTCTGGTTTCTGAGAACATAGAGATGATCAGAGCCATTCCTGTCCAGCAATCTTCCACTGGACTGGGCTACAGAACAACTCCCCTCTCATGTTTTAGAGACCACACCACTAAGTTGACAAAATTTCAGGTAAAAAATCACAAAGAGATCAAGCATTTTAAATGCCTATTTGGTGCATTTTTCCTTTTCATGAACAATTTTTCCTTTCACTTGCAGTGTGCCTCTGAAATAAATAACACGCCCATGTTAAAGTACATGTAGTCATATGGGAAGATTTTATTTGAAATTGATGGGGTCTCCAAGGACATGAGGAGTAGTATGTTCTGTAGTCCACCAGAGGACTGGGGAAGGCTGGCAACACTGCTTGTCTACCAATACAGCAGAGATAGAGTTGAAAGTTCAAACAGGAACAACTGGATTTCTGGCAGATTAACGGGAATTCCTCTGCACCTGCAGGGGTTTTAGGACTGGTTCACATGGGAATCGCACAGAAACAACAAGATTTCAGCCCAATTATTTTGCTCACTCATTGAGAACTACAAGCCGTCAGCCGCGCAAAGGATGTCTAGTTACATAGTTAGTCTGGCTGAGGACAGACAAAAGTCCATCCAGTTCAATCATATAAAAAAAAAAAGTTATAATCCTACACCCACAGTTGATCTAGAGGAAGGCAAAAACCCCAGCAAAGTATGATCCAATTTGCTCCTGCAGGGGAAAATATTTCTTCCTGATCCCGAGAGGCAATCAGATATTCCCTGGATCAACTTTACCTATAGATGTTAGTAACCAATTATATTCTGTGTATCTAAGAAAGAATCCAGGACTTTTTTAAAGCAATCCACTGAGCTAGCCAGAACCAACTCTTGAGGGAGTCTATTCCACATTCTCACAGCTCTTACTGTGAAGAAACCTTTCCGTGTTTGGAGATTAAATTTCTTTTCCTCCAGATGTAAAGAGCGCCCCCTTGTCCTCTGTGATGACCTCAGGGGGAATAACTACACTGAGTTCACTATATGAACCACTGATGTATTTATACATGGAGATCATATCCCCCTTATGTATTATACATGGACATCATATCCCCCCCTTATGTATTATACATGGAGATCATATCCCCCCTTATGTATTATACATGGAGATCATATCCCCCTTATGTATTATACATGGAGATCATATCCCCCCCCTTATGTATTATACATGGAGATCATATCCCCCCTTATGTATTATACATGGAGATCATATCCCCCTTATGTATTGTATACATGGAGGTGATCATATCCCCCCCTTATGTATTATACATGGAGATCATATCCCCCTTATGTATTATACACAGAGATCATATCCCCCCTTATGTATTATACATGGATCATCATGTATCCCCCCTTATGTATTATACATGGAGATCATATCCCCCTTATGTATTATACATGGAGATCATATCCCCCCCTTATGTATTATACACAGAGATCATATCCCCCCTTATGTATTATACATGGACATCATATCCCCCCTTATGTATTATACATGGAGATCATATCCCCCCTTATGTATTATACATGGAGATCATATCCCCCCTTATGTATTATACATGGACATCATATCCCCCCTTATGTATTATACATGGAGATCATATCCCCCCTTATGTATTATACATGGTGCTCATATCCCCCCTTATGTACTATACATGGTGATCATATCCCCCCTTATGTATTATACATGGAGATCATATCCCCCTTATGTATTATACATGGAGATCATATCCCCCCTTATCTATTATACATGGAGATCATATCCCCCCTTATGTATTATACATGGTGCTCATATCCCCCCTTATGTACTTATACATGGTGATCATATCCCCCCTTATGTATTATACATGGAGATCATATCCCCCCTTATGTATTATACATGGAGATCATATCCCCCCTTATGTATTATACATGGAGATCATATCCCCCCCTATGTATTATACATGGAGATCATATCCCCCCTTATGTATTATACATGGAGATCATATCCCCCCTTATGTATTATACATGGAGATCATATCCCCCCTTATGTATTATACATGGAGATCATATCCCCCCTTATGTATTATACATGGAGATCATATCCCCCCCTTATGTATTATAAATCTCCTTAATCTCCTCTTCTCAAGAGAGAATAAATTCAGTCCCTCTAATCTTTCCTCATAGCTTAGCTCCTCCATGCCTCTTTATTATTATTATTATTATTATTACTACGAGTTTATATAGCGCCAAAGGGTTTGCTCAGCGCTGTACAATAGGGGGGGGACAATACATGGCACAGTACAACAACAACAAACAACGTACGAGGGGTAAGAGGGCCCTACTCTTACGAGCTTACAATCTAGGAGGGAGGGGGTAAAGGTACAGTAGGAAGTGGCTGAGGGGGATGAAGTGGTGGGAGGAATGAGGGAGGATGGCCGTTAGGTGAGGGTGGGGTAGGCTTCCCTGAAGAGATGGGTTTTGAGGGAGCGCCTGAATGTGAATAGGGAAGGCGACAGTCTGATGGATTGGGGCAGTGAGTTCCAGAGGATGGGGAGGACCTGGAGAAGTCCTGCAGTCGTGCATGGAGGAGGAGACCAGGGAGCAGGATAGAAGGAGGTCCTGTGAGGAGCGAAGGGTACGGGTAGGGTGGTACTTGGTGATCAGGTTGGTGAGGTAGTCAGGGGCAGTGTTGTGAACGGCTTTGTAGGTCAGGGTTAGGAGTTTAAATTTGATGCGTTGGGCAATCGGGAGCCAGTGGAGGGAGAGGCAGAGGGGGGTGGCAGAGGTGGAGCGGGTGGTGAGGTGGATGAGTCTGGCAGCTGAGTTCAGGATGGTCTGGAGCGGGGAGAGCCTGCACTTGGGTAGGCCAGTGAGGAGGGAGTTGCAGTAGTCAAGGCGTGAGATATGAGGGAGTGTACTAGAAGTTTGGTGGTGTCTGGGGTGAGGAAGGAGCGTATCTTGGCAATGTTGCGAAGATGGAGCCTGCATGTGTTTGTGAGTGATTTGACATGCGGTTGGAGGGAGAGGTTCGCATCAAGAATGACGCCAAGGACTTTGGCTTGCGGGGCGGGAGTGATAGTGGAGTTGTTGGTGATGATGGATAGGATGGGGGGGGGGGGGGGGGGGTGTTTGGCAGGGGGAAAGATGAGGAGCTCGGTTTTGGAGAGGTTGAGCTTGAGGAAATGTAGCGACATCCAGTCTGAGATGTCATTTAGGAGGTGAGTGATGCGGGCGGAGATAGTGGGGGTGAGGTGAGGGGTGGAGAGGTAGATTTGGGTGTCGTCAGCATAGAGGTGATAGTTGAAGCCGTGAGATTGTATGAGTTTGCCCAGGGAGGAGGTGTAGATGGAGAAGAGAAGGGGTCCAAGGACAGAGCCTTGGGGGACCCCAACAGAGAGGGGGAGGGAGGGGGAGGTGGCACCATTGTAGGCGACACTGAAGGAGCGTCGGGATAGGTAGGATGAGAACCAAGAGAGAGCAGTATCTCCGATGCCAAGGGAGAGTAGTTTATTAAGGAGGAGGGGGTGGTCAACTGTGTCAGTTTGGTTTCCCTTCTCTGTACTCTCTCCAGTTCCCCAATGTTCTTTTTGTGAATTGGTGCCCAAAACTGAACTGCATATTCCAGATGAGGTGTTACTAATGATTTGTACCGGGGAATGATATCTCTCTCTCTGGAGTCTATACCTCTCTTAAAACAAGAGAGGATTTTGCTCGCTTTAGAAACCTCAGCTTGGCATTGCTGCCATTATTATGCTTGTGATCTACCAGAACGGTAGTTGCAGTTCATTCATTCAAAGAACTCTGTGAATGAATGAAGTGACCGTGTGGGCGCAGCCCTCCACAGCTCTGTTCTTTTCAAATTGTGACAGCGGGGGCAGGGAGAAGATAACTGGCCCACTATCACAATGAGAATAGGGAACAGGGGGAGAGCAGCAGGAACATGTTACATGTTCCACCCAAAAAAGGGTGGATCATGTAACATGTTCCCAATGGTGAAGTTATCCTTTAACAGTCCAGAATATATCAGTCTGGCAGATGGTGACAGTTTCATGTTTGAAAGACTGACTGCAGAAGGAGTTATACAGCTAATGCACACACAGTACCCATAACTCATGCAGTCACAGTGCACGCTGTGTGTTCACATACATGTTCATGGGACAGGTTCTCTTTAATGGGAAAGAGCTGACACTCACCTCAAGGCTCTGGATGCGATTAGCGGCTCCGGTCTGATCGACTATTCTGAAACTGCCACGTGGTATCATCCAAAACTCCAGCGTTGAACTGGGATGAACCTTCTGTGTAACTAAATACCCTTGGAAGTGGTCATCATAGAAATAAATCTCAACCGCAGATGAGAAACCATCAGGGGCAAAGCTGCAGAGAGAAAAAAGCAAGCACTATAATCAATCATTCTGCCAAAGCCTCCTCTGTGCAGTTAAAGCAGCAATCTTGTTTATGATCGGTGTCACTCAATGACATATGTTATGCTCTGCATTAGGTATGGGCTTTATATAAACACTCACCTCCAAAAGGCATCCAGAACAGGCTGCACAGCAAAATTCCATTTCTTCACAGGAATTGAGGACTTCTATGTACACAAAGGTTACTGCTAGATTTGTTTTTTTTTTTTAAGATACTTTGTGGTTCTTTTAGGGCCGGTTCACACTATAAAAACGCAGTCCAGATGCGTTCCGGACACGTTTTTTATGCATTCCGGTTCATTTTTTCCCCTTCTCTTTTTCTGAATAGGGACATGTGCGGTTTTGGTGCGTTCCAGTGCATTTTACCACGTTCCAGTATAGTTCTGTGTACTTTTTTTTTTCTGCAACTGAAACGCACTAGAACTGCAAACACTGATGTGAACTATGACATTGACAACCACATAACCTACTTTCTGTGCGTTTTGGATGCAGGAAAAAAGCAACTGAAACGCATGTAATGTGAACTGACCCTTAACCACTTTCTGTCCGTCCCATGTACATAAACGGCCGGACGGGAGCAGTGCCGAAGCGGGTCGCTATTTATAAACGGCCCCCCATTCTCTGCCTGTGCACACTCCCTGGGAGCGCACGGTGCCCGGAGGACACAGCAGAACACCAATCGCTGTATGGGACCTCTGCGTGAGGTCCTGATCCATGTGATTCCTGATTGGCCAATCAGTGATCACATGAAAAGGAGTAAACAAAATGTCGCACGGCCGCAGAGATGTGAACCAGAGGTTAATAAATCTCCCCCTTGTTGTCCTCTAAATTTATGAGGTCCACACAGAAACAGTTCACAAGACAAATCTGTTGTCTTATATCAATGATGGAGGACGTATGAACAGTGGATATTTATATATATGTACTTTTCCCGCAGTTCTTTTCCAGAGAGATCCATTTATTTGTATAAAAGATACTTGTTACATGGAACTGCGAAAATATATAGAATTCTCACTGATATAGATAATAGCCCTAAACCGAAGTATATAGAGAAATGGGAAAGAGATTTGGAGATGGAAATAGATGAAGAGATGCAGAAAAAAATATATTGATTAACCTATGAAAATATTAGTATGCGAGAGGTTGAAGTAAATTATAAGTGTTTGATAAGATGGCTCATTACACCGAAAGTTGAAAACAAGATGAATGGAGAGATTTCACCGTTGTGTTGGAGAGGGTGTGGAGAGATAGGCACGTGGTACCATGTATGGTGGGGGTGTTCAAAAATACTAATATTTCGGAAGAAAATAGTTAAAGTAGTGGGGAAGATTACTGAAGTTAATATTAGATTAGACCCAGGGGTTTGTCTTTGCCATACCAGTACCAGTGAAAACATATAAGGATTTGGGTATAGGGTATTTATTAAGTGCCGCAAAGAGTCTGATTCCCAGGTATTGGAGAAAAAGAGAGGTGCCGATGGAAGAGGATTGGGTGGTCAGAGTGAATCAGATTTGTGAGATGGAGAAACTTTATTATATGCATGTAGATAAGATGGGGATATTTCATGCAAAATGGGAAAAATGGGAGAAATTTAAAGGAAAGGTGAAATAAATGAAGATATAAAACTCTACTAGACAGGCTATGAGCACTCTCTACAGGGGGGAAGGAAGAAAACGCAGAGTAATGGGGTGGGAATGGGGGGAGGGGAGGGTGGATGGGGAGGGGTATGGAGTTATTTTAGGGAGATAAATATTTGTAAGATTGTATTGTTCTGTTTGTTTTTCTTTGTTTTGGTGTCCCTTTAAGTGGGGAAAAGGATTGTAATATGAATCTTGATGGAAAATTAATAAATATTTATAAAAAAAAAAAAAAAAAAAAAAAGATACTTGTTACAGATGACAGAAATCCAGCTGAATACTTGTAGATATTACAATGAACAACAACCCTCAAAGTCCCATTTAAGATACTTCATAGCAAACATGGAGATACTACACCGTCCAGCATATGTCCGATCTATAACATGCACCTAGGTAGCTTCCATGCATGCAATAATGTGAGTTATCATCTATACCTGTGTTCCCATATTAATGACAGCGAAAAGCTCCTCTCCCAGCCAAAATAACTGCCCTTGAAATACAGTTTACTGGAGGGTTTCTGATCTGACAAAACACTTTTGATCTTACATGAAAAGACTTCCCTAATCACAATTAGGTTAGGTTCACTATAGTGTTTACTAGATACACAAGTCATCCTTTCACCATATAATATGCCTTTGACTCCACCATCAATAAATACTTTATTGTATTGTCCAATCACATTCTTTATCATCCTTAAACAAATAATCAATGTACCCTTTGAAATGTCTAATTAGATAAACAGGCTATTCCCAAAATACCAAGGTGACCTGCATAAAATTAACATAGCAAAGAGTTCTTTTGATGTGTAAAGTGGGTTTGTGTCTGTCTGTATATATATATGTATATATATATATATCTGTATCTATATATATGTATCTATATATATATATATCTATATATATCTATATATCTCTATCTATCTCTTAGATTGTAAGCTCCAAGGAGCAGGGCCCTCCTAACCCTCTTGTCTCTTGTATTGATCGGTATTGTCTCCTGTTCTATTGTAAAGCGCTGAGCAAACTGTTGGCGCTATATAAATCCTGTATAACAATAATAAAAAATTATATAATATGTATATAAATAATTGAGGGGCTTGATGTGAGGACGCTTAAAGAAAATACACAGCAAGTATAAGGAGTGTTGCAAACACAGAGGATTCTATAATATTGTACTTAAAAATGGTTTTATCATTTATATCATGTGAGTGCACTATATTTTGTTTAATAAATACATTTTAAAAGGAGATAAGGCACTATATTATATTCTTTGATTACATGACATCTATACACATGGAGTAATAAGTCAAAAAGCTCCCAGGATCAGGGCCCTCCTAACCCTCTTGTATTGAACTGTATTGTTGCTGTATTGTCTCCCGTTATATTGTAAAGTGCTGAGCAAACTGTTGGCGCCATATCCTGTATAATAATAATGATATATAAATCCTGAAATAATAATAATATATAAATCCTGTAAAAATAATGAGTATAAATCGTATAATAATAATACTAATAATAATATATAAATCCTGTACCCCCCTAGAGAAGAGAGGGATAACTTTATCCATTCAACTCAACTCCAGGAGAAAAGGTCCCTGGAAAATGGTGAGTCCCCCTGCTGGAAAAAGGGAAATACTCCATTCATCCATCCATCTGGGGACAGGGATATACAAATCTATTCATTTCCAAGTCCATTTAAAGGGACACAAGCTGTTTTTGACCCCACTTAATGGTTTGGTAATATATATCAGGTGAGCGCACACTGATGAAGGCGCACATAAGTAAAAGTTTTTGTGGACTTTGTTATATGTCTCACTAGAGGAAGACACCTTAATAATCACAGATTGTGTTTGAAATAAGCACGCAGTTTCAGTAAGACTGCAAACCAAAGTTGGACTCACGTATGTTATTTATAATTAATTGAAAATTTGAATTATATATTGTTTATGTAAATAGTCCATTGAGTATATTGCACAGTTATTAGTGGAGCGCGACATGTTTGTATTGTTTTTGATTATATATATTACACATCATATACTACACCCCCTTTCTGTATACAAACCTGCAGGATCTCTTTCTGTTCAGTTGCTCAGGACTCTGCAGTTCTCGAAGTGCTAAACGTGTAAACGATTCATATGCAGTCATGGTGACGTCTGTAAGCGCTCGCTGGCCTTCCATGCTGTGGTATACATTCTCCCAGTAACCTTTGAGACCTGGAGTCCCGGGAACTGGCTCTCCAAACAGGTGAGCATCCAAAATATCCAGGACTTCCTGATTCACCGAAGACTCAAACTTCCTGGCAAAAAAAGTTGGTCTGGAGAGCTGCTGGAAGAGGAAAGGAGGAAAGTGAGAACCAGAAAAAGTGACGTGTAATGTACTAAAAAAGTCTATTGAGCAGAAAAGAATTCCCTGACTTACAGTGGAACTAAACCCTCCTATCCTCTACAGTCTCCAAACTTTCTAAACAAAGGGCCGGTTTACTGTGCTTCAAACCTTGGGGGGGGGGCTCTAATGTGGCCAGTGGGAGAAGAGAATGTCTTGTATCAGTGGGAGTAAACAATACCCAATCATTATAATAATCTTCCAGCGCCTGTTTTATCCTCAAAAACTTTTTTATATACTTGCTCTCAAATTTAGTCCACCTTCATGAAGATATTCCTTTAACCTCCCTAGCGGTCTGATTAGGTCAGTATTTCTGTGCTCAAAGCGGTACATTGTTTTCAATAAAAATATGTTGTTTTTTTATTGTAGGTCTGTAATTCTTAGGAATAACTCACTGAAATCTGTCCGAACAAGAGTCTAGTAAACATCCCGGGTATGATAAAATTTGAAACACGAAATCATAAATTATAATATAATAAATAATAAAATAAAAAATTTAATTCAATAATATGATCAAACCAAAAACACTCATTTGAAATATAGCGCCAAGTTCGCACATCGCTGAGCAAAGTCGCAGAATCGTTTTCAGTGTCTGATGACGAATTTCCCCCACGAATCATTATCACTCAATTCTGCAAGTGGTTCTGATTTACTATCGCTGTTCTCTAGCCGGTCTAAAACCGCTTTTGACCTAAAGGGACGCTTTTTGGACGCTTTCTCAGTTTCCAGGCAGAAAGAACAGTAAAAATGCAGGCAGGGCGCCAGACAAAGCACTCGGGGCAAAATGTATGTGAAATGGTTTGATACAATAATGTAATACTATCAGATTTTAGTGTATTTAGTGAATGTTTTTTACATTTTTGAATTTCCCGCCGTTCCGTCCCCCGTACATCCCGACACTCGCAGGGAACGGAACCCGGAAGACAGATGTCGGCATCGGCCGGAAGAGATGGTCGGGGACGCTGCGGGGGGGACATCGCAGGAGTGCAGGACAAAATAAGTGCTGGAGGGATCCCTGAGTAACGCTGCAGGGTAATCCCGGGTGTAGCTCGGGTTTACCGCTTACTGGTACTGAAAGTTAACCCCGAGCTACACTCGGGAATACCGCCAGGGTGAAATGCTCAAAAAGAAAAAGGAAAACCAATATAGTGCATTATCCCACGCAAAAAAACATATTATCACCCTGTGGTTACAGACGTGCCACCCCACTTAGTGTCCACATCTACATGGCTGTACTAAACACCCTTACCCTATCAAAACTTGTTTAAAGCTCTCAATATCATAAACTCCGTCTTTTCTTTCTTCAATAATTCCTCAAAAAAACAATAATAGTGCAATATCCTTTGGATACAAAATTGTGCTTTCCTAATATTCACGGTACACGTGTAAAATGTGAGAGCCGCTCCCCATCACCTTGCACACCATGCACTTTACCAGATAAAACACTTTAATAAGCATGAAAAAGCTCTGCTCATCTGACCATCCCTGCTCAGCTCACTCTCCATGTGGTAACATATTAAGGCTCAGAACAGAATCTTTATGGTGTAGAATATCATATTCAAAGGGATAGATTTTAATAAAGTTATGCTTACAATAAAATTATATATAAAAAAAAACAAAACTTTGTGATCCTTCTTGATAGTAAAGAATTTGGATCCTCTGTAAAATCTTATTTTATGACTGAAAAACCTCAGTCAAGATGGCCACTCTGCAACTTCCATTTGTACATCTGCGTCCAACGTCGCTTCCTTGACGCGTTTCGTCACTTCTGACTTCTTCACAAAGGGTGTGCACATTGGATGATCAGCCACTTAAAAAGTGCTGTACCTCCCCTTAATGCAGAGCGATATCGCCATCTTGAAACAGGGCATTCTACCAATACTCTAATACAGTGGTTCTCAACCTGTGGGTCGTGACCCCTTTGGGGGTCGAACGACCCTTTCACAGGGGTCACCTAAGACCATCGGAAAACACATTTCTGATGTGTAAAGAGCAGCTACTGTGTTGAAAGCAGCTACTGTGTTGAAAGCAGCTACTCTGTTGAAAGCAGCTACTCTGTTGAAAGCAGCTACTCTGTTGAAAGCAGCTACTCTGTTGAAAGCAGCTACTCTGTTGAAAGCAGCTACTCTGTTGAAAGCAGCTACTCTGTTGAAAGCAGCTACTCTGTTGAAAGCAGCTACTCTGTTGAAAGCAGCTACTGTGCTGAAAGCAGCTACTGTGCTGAAAGCAGCTACTGTGCTGAAAGCAACAGTGTTGGAGGTAAAACGACACTCATGAATTATAATTACTGGGTAAATAATTTTATGGTTGGGGGTCACCACAACATGAGGAACTGTATTAAAGGGTCATGGCTTTAGGAAGCTTGAGAACCACTGATCTAACACATAAAACTGCTACTTATATATCTTAACTATCTGAATGGAACAATACATACAATATCTTCTATCTAGATTTATCTGGTCATTAACATCCTATTAATCCTAAAGTGGAGTTCCACTCACCCTGTCAAAAAATAACAGTCAGCAGCTACAAAAACTGTAGCTGACTTTTAAAAAACAGCCACTTACCTGTCCCTCGGTCCCGTGGTGCCCCCCCCCCCTGCAGCCAGTTTCACCAGCCGTCCTGTATTCCCGGAGGCCGGCATCTTCAGTGTGTGCACCCGGCTGTGACAGCTTGTGGCTTCACAGCCGAGTGCCCACTGCGCAGGCGCAAGTAGCGCTGCGCTTCATGAATGGTCCTGTAGTCTTCTGGGACCCGTCACGTGTCCCACAAGACTTCGGGGGGGGGGGGGGGGAGACACCTTTTGCTTCCGATTGCCTAGGCGATTGGACTGAAAGTGGCAGCAGAAATGCAATCGCGGGTGCGTTTTTAATACATTTCAATTGGGAAGTGCGTTTTTGGTGCAGTTTTAAAAACACACACCAAACATGCCACACTTAAAAATGCAACTGACCCACAAGTGACTGTTGTGAAGAGTTCCCTAGGATTTATAGTCATGCGTTTTTCTTCTGCTTTAGTAACGGAAGAAAAACTGATTGGTGTGAAAGAAGCCTAACTGTAAAGGCTCCTTCAGCTTGAGGGGAGATAAAAATCTGTGCTTGAGGTTTTTTAACACTCCCCTCCCCACCCCTTTAGCTGCAGAGGCATCTAAACACATGCTGTGGCTGCAGTGCTTTTGTGGTTGGAATTATACCCCATCACCTGCCAAGCACAACCCATTCAAGTGAATGGGGCTGCTCTGCAAGCACCCCGCAACTGCGTGCAATGCATGAGGTTGCAGTGTGCCAGTGCAGGGTTTAAGAAGTTAAAGCAGGAGGTGCCACAACGTCATCTAACCACCTATCAAATGCTCTCTGAAGAGCGATCTACTAAGGCGTACTAAGGTTATATTATATTTATTTCTTTTTTTGAACATATAGGTTTGATAATAGTTGTGCAAATATCGTGCAAAAAAAAACAAAAAAAAAAAACAACTATTTAAATGTAATTCTACAGGCCCTCTGATTTTCGAAAATATAAAATATTTTGAGAGCCGGTTCACACCATGAACTGCACAGGAACACGCTTCACATGCGATCCAGGTGCATTCATTTGAATGAGGGGATAGTACCATGCGATCTAGTGCAGGCAAATGCACTGTAATTGTGACAGTGTTGTTCACACTGATAACTGCTGAAAATTGAAAGTGTTTTGAAGCTGGTGTGGGGAATGTGCACGGAATGCAGGTTTCCCACACCGCATTCTGGTGTGAATTGGCCCTTAAGAGTTCTAAGTAGTTTTTTAATTTTGTGTAAAAAAGAATGGAAGGAATAAAAAAAAAAAAAAAAAAAAAAAAAAAAAAAAAGGATTGGCAACAAAAGCGTTTAGAAATCTTAAAAAAAATAAATAAATAATAATAATAATATAAATGTAATGAAGATAGTTCATCTTTTTCAGACTACCTGCAGACGCACAACATCCTGGGGCTTGAAGTCGTTAGGAGAACAGCCGCACCAGTCTACGATGTGTTTGTACTGACAGCGGCAACCCAGCTTTCTGTTCCAGTTAGTCACTCGCAGATTATTGTCGACAAGAGTGTCACAGTCGTGACTGTTCTCCAGGACAGTATGAAAGAAGGACTGTAGGAGAGACATGGGTTTCAGGTGCTGCTTTACGGTGACAAGACATAAAATTTAACATGAAGTTCAGAGAAAACACTGATACAGAAAGACACAAATGGCTCACCTCAGCAGGCAGCAGAGTATACTTGTAGAATCGCCTCAATTCCGACACCAAGACGTCCTGTGTGTAGGTGACATATTTCACAAACTTGCGGGTCAGAGCAAACCAATCAGAGCCACCATCTACCACAATGCCTTCTGGTATCTGCCGCTCACCAAGACGCCACATGTGCGAGTCACACTCATGGAAAAGGCGATCTAGACCTTGCTTCTTAATGAACCTGGAAATTAAACAACATTAATTGAATCAACAACCTCCTTTACACACACACAGGAGTCTATGGCTTAAAGCAGAACTCCGGCCTTAGGTTTAGTCTTGCTTTAGGCTCCTCCTGTACTGAAATGGCTTACTCGGATTTCATTGCTTCTCACTGTGGGCATTAGTCAGGAGCCAGACAGAAATCGCCTCCTTTCTTGGATGTCCAGCATCGTCTAGCCTTTTCTTCCACAGCCTGACTGTCCCCTGGCCTGCCCATTTATTCAATGGATTTAGAAAACATTTTTTCTTTTTTTTTTTTAATTAACCACCTCCCGTCCAGCTGTTGTATATAAAAGGCCGGACAGTGGAAGTGCAGGATCAGGTGGCTGTTTATAAACGGCCTCCTTGCCCCCGCTTGTGAGCGCTCCCTGGGAGCGCGCAGCACCGTGATCCGGTGCCCGCCGTGTCTTCCGGACACAGTGGAACACCGATCATCGGACAGGACCTCTGTACGAGGTCCCGGTCATGTGATCACTGATTGGCTAATCAGTGATCACATGCAGAGTAGTAAGCAAGATGTCACTTCTGACATAATTGCTTACTACGTGTGAAATCTGTAAATGATCACAGAGTTCACATGGTACAAGGCTATTCACAACAGCCTTGTACCATGTGACAAGCTGTGACCAATCACAGCTCACACAGTAGTTCTCAATGGCTGCAAGAATGCAGCCAGAGAGAAGGAGAAATGATTGCTTTTACAGCCTTTATGGGTGTAAAAGCAATCAGTGAAAAAAAAAAAAAAAAAATCTTCATCACCCCCCATAAGTAGTACAGTGTCACCATGGTGACACTGTACTGCTAGGGTGACAGTATGTAAAAAAAAACAACATAAATAATATTAAAAAAAAATGAAAAGGTAAAAAAAAATGCTTAAAAATTATAATTTTGGTTACAAATTAATTTAGGTTATTTTTGTTTTACTAAAAAGATAACGGAATAAATTTTGGCCAAGGTTTATGATGAAATTTTATTTATTTGCAAAATTTTATAAGAAAAAACACTTTTTTTCAAAATTTTTGGACATTTTCATTTACAGAGCAAAAAAAAAAAATAAAAATCCCAGTAGTGAATAAATAACACCAAAATAAAGCTTTATCTGTCTAAAGAAATGCTAAAAAATTCAAAATCGGTACAGTGTTGCATGACCGTGTAATTGTCAAAGTGTGATAGCACTGAAAGCTGAAAATTGGCCTGGGCAGGAAGGGGGTAAAAGTGTCCGGACATGAAGTGGTTAAATCGTGGCCATTCAGCACCACATGAGGACATTACTTAAGGCAGTCTGTATGGAAATACAGCCGGTCTATGAGCACCCACTTCTCCAGACTGACATCCACCCATCAAAGCAGCATCTTTATTAATTTAATAAAATAAAAAGCTGAGCCTTTACAAATCACTTTAAAACGGTAGATGGATTAACACCTTCCCACCCGGCCTATAGCAGATTGACAGCCGGGTGGGACACTCGCCATTGTGACTGGGCGTCATATGACGTCCTGTCAAAACGGGCCGCACAGTGGCATGATCTGTCACCGGCTGTGTCCACTGGACACAGCCAATGACATATCACTACACCGGCCCATTGCCAGTGTCATGTGACCGCTGTTACCAATCACAGCAGATCACATGTCAATTGTATACAATGGATGGCTTCCGGTCATGCCATCCATTGTATACATTTAAGTTGTTAGCTGTGACTGGTCAAGACAGTCACATGATACAGACAGGGCCTATCACAACCCATCTGTATCACGCGATCAGCTTTGCCCAATCACAGCTAATCACAAAAAAAAGACTAAATGAATCAGTTTCATTCAGTAACGATTTCAAATATCAACAAAATATATTGGTATTAGCAATCATAATGTGTTTAAAAAAAAAAAAAAAATCCTGATCACTTGCCCAGAGTAGCTCAATGTTACTATGTCAGTGTGCTGAAAAATAAAAGTGTAAAAAAAAAAAAAATTAATAAAAAAAAAAAAGTAATAGAAACATTTGAAAAAAAATACAAATTCAATTATTATTATTTTAACCAAAGAAATGTAACAGAATAAATTTTGACCTAAATTTATGAAGAAATGTTATTTATTTGCAAAATTTTATTACAGAAACGAAGAAAAGTGCGTTTTTTCAAAAGTTTCAGGTGTTTTTTGTTTTATTTAGCAAAAAATAAAAACCTCAGTGGTGACTAAATACCGCCAAACGAAAGCTCGATTTGTGTGAAAAAAATTATAAAAATTTCATATGGGTACAGTGTTGCATGACAGCGCAATTGTCATTCAAAGTGCGACAGCACTGACAGCTGAAAAATTGGCCTGGGCAGGAAGGGGGTAAAAGTGCTCGGTATTGAAGTGGTTAAAGATTACAAGTGACAGATACCAGATGAAGTTCAAACATTTCAACCTATTGTATGTAAAAATGCCTTTACAGGACTCCTCCCATCCCTCCCCCCATCCTGCCCTTCTTCTCCCCCTTCCTCTAATCCCCCCCCCCAGCTACTATTGAACTCCTTTTGTCCTTGTGTTTGCTGTCCTACCAGTTCATGTTGATGCCACTCCCGCCACTAGGTTCTGGATTGCATTTCTCAGATAGGTGGGGCAGACCCCGCAGTCGGGCCGAGTACATCCCCACAGCCCGCTGTTACTCATTCTGTTTGCCGTCATGAGGTGATGACTTTTCTGTTTTGATATGTCCTTGTTGCTTATGGCCTATACGCCTCCTTTTTGCCCTTTTACTTTTACTGTAAATATTTTGCACTGTCATCATGTGCTGGTAAAAACTGTTGAAAAACTCTAATATTCATCTTTTTTAAAATAAAAAATGCATTATTTAAAGTGTTCCTAAACCCACAACAGTAAAATCAGTCTGTATATGTAGTAAAGCATGCTTGTTATACTCACTGTGGAACCTAAGGGGTTAATCCTCTGCATTGTGTAAAAAGGCTGTTTGATCCTGTCTTCTCTGATCCTCCCCTTCTTTTATTGTCCTCAATCTATCTGCTGATAGTAGAGAGCTCTAGGAGGCACTCTGTACATGCGCAGTTTAGTGTGTCTTGCTAGAGTTTTTTTTTTTTTGGAAGGGTGCATGTGATCAGCACTGCCAAGACAGAAGGTCAGGGGTTATGCAGCCTCATAGGACAGTCAGAAGAGAATAAAAACTCCTCCAACAATCTTTAACCAGTGCTCAGCGGGACGCTGGTAGAAGTCACAAGACTGCTTTATACTGCTATGAGAAAAGGTATTTAGCAGATTATATTTACTAAAATAATTAAATTTCAATATTGTGTGTACTGTGGGAGACCGGATATAGGAACGCAGGGTCCGGATATAGGGAACGCAGGGTCCGGATATAGGGAACGCAGGGTCCGGATATAGGGACGCAGGGTCCGGATATAGGGAACGCAGGGTCCGGATAAAGGGAACGCAGGGTCCGGATATAGGGAACGCAGGGTCCGGGGAGACCGGATATAGGGAACGCAGGGTCCGGGGAGACCGGATATAGGGAACGCAGGGTCCGGGGAGACCGGATATAGGGAACGCAGGGTCCGGGGAGACCGGATATAGGGAACGCAGGGTCCGGGGAGACCGGATATAGGGAACGCAGGGTCCGGGGAGACCGGATATAGGGAACGCAGGGTCCGGGGAGACCGGATATAGGGAACGCAGGGTCCGGGGAGACCGGATATAGGGAACGCAGGGTCCGGGGTTTAGTAACACTTTAAATACTTTTTAATTAATACACGACTTCAGGTGAGTGTGCTTTTCTTTAATTCTTTGCGTTTCCTCGGTTTCATGATGAGAATGTAAGACCTGGACAAGAATTGTGTTTTTTTTTTTTTTTTTTTTTTAAGATATAGGACTTCGCTATCACAAGGGGAAATCTTACCTAGCATTGTCACGGCCATGAGATTTAAGGAAGTTCTTGTCTCTGTATTTTGATAGAAAGAGAACCAGCTCCTCGTTGGTCCTGTATACAAAAGAAACATTTCAAGTTACATGACAAACCTAACACGGTTCAGGTACAGCAGCCATTCTCACAAGGAACACATGTAAAGAATTCCATGGGTGAAAGCCAGGGATAAGGGTAGTATATACTGAATAACTTTTTTTCTCTACATATTTTTTTTTTTGCATATCTGCTATTTATTAAATAGGAGAGGGGGCTCCAATATATTACGCGATAACTTTCACGTAAACCAATTAATTTACACGTACTGGGATTTTTTTTTTTAGCAAAGACATGGAGCAGAATACATTTTGGCCTAAATTTATGATTTTAAAATTTTTTCACTGGACATGTTTAATAGCAAAAAGTCAAAAAAGTTCTCTCTCTCAAAAATTGTCTTTTTTTTTTTTATACTGCAAAAAAAAAAAAAAAACACACAGGCAATCAAATACCACCTAAAGAAAGCACAATTCGTGGGAAAAAAAAGGATGTATATTTCATTTGGGTGCAGCGTTACATGACCGCACAATTGTCAGTTAACGTAAAGCAGCGCCGTAACGCAAAAAATGGCCTGGTCAGGAAGAGGGGTAAATCCTCAGGAGGGCAAATGGTTAGCTAAGCCCTAGTGCTCTAGGAATCCTTTGCACTACATGAAATGTTTATATGTAAAACAAAAGGTCATATTTATAACAATTATTTTCTTTTTTTAGTGTCTTTTCTAACTTACCTGGTTGGGTAGTCAGTGGCACTTAAGTTGATAAAGAAGTCCCAGGGCCAGTCGGACATTTCAAGCAAATCTTGCATGCCGCGCAAATACATGGTGAGAAGACTGGCTCCACCCCATATAGTGATCATGCGCCATGGGGTAACAGAAATGTTTGTATACTGCTGTGCCAACTGGACAACTTCACTATGAAGGTAATTTGAGCGCTGTCAGAAAGACATAAATTAGTAAAGGTCCATTCACCCTGTTCAATGCATTCCTTTTGTATGGGCCCTCACTGCACCTCCACAAAACAATATTTGCCCAACTTTTTTTTTTGCAGTACACCACAACAAATATGTATTTTCAACAATGCGCTGTGATACAGTAAAAAGGTCAGGTGTGTTTACCGTATTGGGGAAAGAAATGGGATCGCTTGAAAGTCCAAGTACAGAGGGGCACATTATCAGTTCTGTTGCACAGCAAACCAATGCTAAACAGGAGTAGCGAGGCACATTTTGAGACAAAATCAACTACAAAAGTAATTTGATTCATAAATTCTTCCCTCAGCTGCTCTAAAGTAGTACAGGATGAAACTTTACCCTGGCTGCTACTTAATTCTGAATTCCTTCAATTTGTGAAAAGTGAAGGCACACCATGAGCTACGTCCAAGGAGATGCGTCACATCTCCTGGACTTCTCTCTATTATTTATATCTGACTGGTTTATAGTACTCCCAGAAGAAGTCTATCGCTGTATTTCCAGAAGTTCAACACTGATCCTCCTAATCTCTGCATCTTCAACAGCAGAGTTACTGCAGCTGCTATACCCGCCCCTCCCCTCCTCCTGCCCAATCACAGAAGCCTTTGTATTTTGTGAATGTGTTCACATAATACCAAGTCTTCTGTACATTGGCACTAGAGGGGAGAGTGGGCATAGCTGCTGTGTGCCTTTTTTCCTCTCGGATCCCACAGCATCTCTCCAAATAAACCTGTCAAATGTTATTAACAAAGATAAGTCCAGGAGATGTCGTACATCTCCTTGGACTTAACTCATAGTGTGCCTTCACTTGTCACAAAGGACGTCAATTCCTGGAATTCAGCTTTAAAACGTAACTTAAGGGTTTGATTGAACTCGTTCGTTTGCACCAAGCTGATCCAAACAAACTATTTTTTTCATTAACAGGTGTATTTGCGGTCAGTGCAGTATGGACTGCATGTAGTCTTAGCACATACTGCAGTGGAGGGGCAGGAGGATGATGTCACGATCTTCACTTCAGCCAATCAGTAGAAGCCTTGTATTCATTTAGAAAATACAAAGCTTCCTCTGAATGGCTCAGATTCTATTTTGTTCCAGGAGAGGGCCCAGTAAGTTGTTCTCTTGAGCATTTCTTTTCCAGTGAGTTCTCTACTCACAGGGTTTCTTTTTACCCGATGAGTGTCTGCCTTGTTGCCAGAACAGAGCTGTATACTGTAAGTACCTGAGGCTACATACAGCTTATGCAGCACTGAGCGCAAGGGCACCTGTTGGTGAAGGATACAGTTCAATCAAACCTGCAGTTATACCGACCGCAGATTTATGTATTTATTTCAGGTACTTATATAGGACTGTCAATTTACACAGCGCTTTACATATATATTGTACATTCACATCAGTCCCTAACCCTCAAGGGGCGTACAATCTAAGGTCCGTAACCCTCAAGGGGCGTACAATCTAAGGTCCCTAACCCTCAAGGGGCGTACAATCTAAGGTCCCTAACCCTCAAGGGGTGTACAATCTAAGGTCCCTAACCCTCAAGGGGCGTACAATCTAAGGTCCCTAACCCTCAAGGGGTGTACAATCTAAGGTCCCTAACCCTCAAGGGGTGTACAATCGAAGGTCCCTAACTCACATTCATACATACACATACTAGGGACAATTTACATATAAAGGAGCCAATTCACCTACCAGCATGTCTTTGGAGTGTGGGAGGAAACCAGCGTACCCGGAGGAAACCCAGGGAGAACATGCAAACTCCAGGCAGGTGGTGCTGTGGTTGGGATTAGATGTATCAAATTGTCCAGGTCAGCAGCAACTGCCCGAGATTTGATCCAACCTACAGCAGGCTGGTTGTATAGAAGTTGATTCATTGATCGATTTCAGTACAACCAGCCTGTTTTTTTTTTTCATGTGACCATTGCCAGCGTCTATAGCCGCCAGCAGTGATCGCTGTGTTCTGCTGCCAGGGAATGCTCCCTGTCAGCAAAACACAATAGCGCTGTGGGAAGGATTCCCCCATTATCTATCCTGAATACTGCGGCCAGACTCATCCACCTTACTAACCGCTCCGTATCCGCCACCCCCCTCTGCCATTCCCTCCACTGGCTTCCGATTGCCCAACGGATAAAATTCAAAATGATAATACAAAGCCATTCATAACACTGCCCCAAACTACATCACCGACCTGCTATCCAAATACCACCCAAAACGTACTCTCCGCTCCTCACAAGACCTCCTCCTCTCTAGTTCCCTGGTCTCCTCCCATGCCCGTCTCCAGGACTTCTCCAGGGCTTCCCCCATCCTCTGGAACTCCCTACCCCAATCCATCAGACTATCACCTACTCTCCGCTCCTCACAAAGACCTCCTTTCTAGTTCCCTGGTCTCCTCCTCCCATGCCCATCTGCAGGACTTCTCCAGGGCTTCCTCCATCCTCTGGAACTCCCTACCCCAAATCCATCAGACTATCACCTACTCTCCTCTCCTTTAGGTGCACCCTGAAAACCCACCTCTGCAGGGAAGCCTACCACGCCCTCTACTAATCGCCGATCTCCTCCACTCTTCCTACCACTCCATCCTCCACAGCTATTCCTCCCGTACCACTATCCCCTCCCTCCTAGATTGTAAGCTCCAAGGAGCAGGGCCCTCGATCCCCTCGTGTATTGCATTGTATTATTATTGTACTGTCTCGTGTATTGTCTCCCTTTATAATGTACAGCGCTGAGCGAACTGTTGGCGCTATATAAACACTGTATAATAATAATTACCACGGACTGTGATGATGGGGGAATCAAACGATGTTCTTTCCTTTCACCCGTGGTAGAAGGAAAGAAAACTCTAGAACCTTTAGCGCGCCCGAGGGCTTTCATCGCATGTTTGTTTAGAAATAAAATCTGTCCAGTCTTCAGAGGTTTGTGTGCAGGCGTGCGTAGGGGGGGCTGTACAAATGACTGGACCCCCATTATGTTAAGCCATCTCTTACCTGATCTACATGGATGTAGTAAAAGTGGTCTTTGTGGTAAATGGCTTTGATGAGACGTTTCAATTGCCGCACCGCTCTCCCGTGTACAACAAGCATGTAAACAATGCGCAGTGGATCCTCCGGAGGCGGGGCTCCAACATCTGACTCCTCCCACTGTAAGCCAGGGGTTATTTTACCTGGAAACAAAAAACAAACCAATTCTTAGATTCTATTAATTGAAAGGAGAATCCACCTAACAGTCTGACAGCTACCAAGGACTGCGATGGCAAGATCTCAGCGCTTCAGGTCTGGCACTCGTCACAATGGGGCCCAAGGTTTCTACGGAGCTTTTAGACTGTGAATGGAGAGCTGCCGGAGGGAATCACTGCGCTCTGTTGCCGGCTACGGTAGAAATTCAGAGCATCACATGACTCCCTTTATTTTGTATAAACTTTATGTGAAGTGTACAAAACACACACATATCATTCATAACAGTATACAGCACAGCTTTGCAGTACATTACAATGCGAATCGGCATGCGATAAAACGCAGCATGACTATTTCATCGCAGCCATAGGCTGTACTGCAGTGTAAAAGGGACACCTAGGAAACAATTATTCCCTGTGTGTCCCTGAGGTGACAGATGTGTCACAATGCAGTAAATCATCTGTCATCACAATGTGTGAATTAGCCCTTAAAGTGATACTAAACCCACAACAGTACAATCAGTCTGTAGATGCAGTAAAGCATGCTGGTTATACTCACTGTGGAACCTAAGGGGTTAATCCTCTGCATTCTGTAAAAAAGGCTGTTTGATCCTGTCTTCTCTGATCCTCCCTCCTTTTACTGTCATCAATCCATCTGCAGATAGCACAAAGCTCTAGGAGCCACTGTGCAGATGCTCAGTTTTTGTGTCTTGCTAGAGAGCTTTCTTCTTCGGAGGGTGTATGTGATCAGCAGAGGGCCAATCAGCACTGTCCAGACAGAAGTTCAGGGGTTATGCAGCCTCATAGGACAGTCAGAGGAGAATGAAAACTCCTCCAACAAGCTATAACCAGTACTCAGCTGGACACTGATAGAAGTCACAAGACTACTCTAACTGCTGATTAGAAAAGGTATTTAGCAGTTTATATTTCCCAAAATAGTTGCATTTCCATGTTGTGTGTACTGTGGGAGACCGGATATAGTGAACCAGGAGACCGGATATAGTGAACGCAGGGTCCGGGGAGACCGGATATAGTGAACGCAGGGTCCGGGGAGACCGGATATAGTGAACGCAGGGTCCGGGGAGACCGGATATAGTGAACGCAGGGTCCGGGGAGACCGGATATAGTGAACGCAGGGTCCGGGGAGACCGGATATAGTGAACGCGGGGTCCGGGGAGACCGGATATAGTGAACGCGGGGTCCGGGGACCGGACGCGGGGTCCGGGGATATAGTGAACGCGGGGTCCGGGGAGACCGGATATAGTGAACGCGGGGTCCGGGGAGACCGGATATAGTGAACGTGAACGCGGGGTCCGGGGTCCGGGGAGACCGGATATAGTGAACGCGGGGTCCGGGGAGACCGGATATAGTGAACGCGGGGTCCGGGGAGACCGGATATAGTGAACGCGGGGTCCGGGGAGACCGGATATAGTGAACGCGGGGGTCCGGGGAGACCGGATATAGTGAACGCGGGGTCCGGGGAGACCGGATATAGTGAACGCGGGGTCCGGGGAGACCGGATATAGTGAACGCGGGGTCCGGGGAGACCGGATATAGTGAACGCAGGGTCCGGGGGAGACCGGATATAGTGAATGCAGGGTCCGGGGAGACCGGATATAGTGAATGCAGGGTCCGGGGAGACCGGATATAGTGAATGCAGGGTCCGGGGAGACCAATATAGTGACAGGGTCCGGGATATAGTGAATGCAGGGTCCTGGGAGACCGGATATAGTGAATGCAGGGTCCGGGAGACCGGATATAGTGAATGCAGGGTCCGGGGAGACCGGATATAGTGAATGCAGGGTCCGGGGAGACCGGATATAGTGAATGCAGGGTCCGGGGAGACCGGATATAGTGAATGCAGGGTCCGGGGAGACCGGATATAGTGAATGGCAGGGTTCCGGATATGATATGAATGCAGGGTCCGGGGAGACCGGATATAGTGAATGCAGGGTCCGGGGAGACCAGATATAGTGAATGCAGGGTCCTGGGTTTACTAACTCTTTAAAGTGGTTATAAATCTCAGATATGAAAGATAAGCAAAGCATACCCTTTAGTCTGTCCCAATTAAGACCACTAAGTGTCATTTCTGTCTGCTGCTTTGTTACTGCTATTGGCGTGAGTCACTTCTAAAAAGTATTCCTGACACCAAAAGAAAATGGTGCCAGTGGAGGGAGCTCCAGTGTATTGACAGCCTCAGCTCTGTTCCTGTGAGCTATAGGGAACAGGGTGTCTCTCTTCCCTCCAATCAGCTATCAGTGCTCTCCTCCCTGGGTTCTGCAGAGTGTAATTTCAGCTCTCTGCCCCCTTTTTCTGCACTCTCAGACAAGCTTTATAAATTCAGCACTTTAAACTGGTGTAGAGAAGACTGCACATAAACAGGTACAACTTCGGTTTGTTTCATCTCTGTGTATCACATGAGGTCACTCACTTCACTGGGTGCAAGTCAGGGTTTACAACCACTTTAATGTATTTTGTTTTATGGAGAAAGCATCAGAAGGAATGGTCACAGCATAAAAAAGTGAAAAATGAGGCCGTCCAGCAGCCCGAACAATTACCTGTCGTTTGGCAATAACGGGGCAAACTCTTGGGAATGATCTGTCCCAACTGGTGCAGACAGACAATGTCGGCAATCTCCTGCTGACATTTCTGGGTGGTGGCTCTGGAGAGAGCAGACAGGGCGTCTTTTCCTTTGACGTCACACTTTGGGGTGAAAATGCGATCCGTGGGGTGAGGTCCTTCTACACTGCCGGTGTCGCCATCTCTGGTTAGGTTATGCCACGTTTCCTGGGGGACATGAAGACGGGTGCTCAGCTTGGATCTTGGATTAGCCTCTCTTGCCACTCTGGCTACCTCACTGCCTGATCTCCCTGCCTTTCCTCTGGATCTCCAAGCCCTGCGCCCTGCAGAATTGTCAGGGTCCTTGGAATGCTCTGCTTTATCTGGGCTTCTATTTTTCCTCTGCTGAGCATTCTGCAATACAAAAATCAAGTTGAGAAGAAAAGGCAGATTAGCAAAAGTGAAGGGAAAACAAGTCCAACTGACTCATTTTTAAAAGTATCTATAGAAAAGTAAAAAATTGTTTTGGCTTTACCCCGATTCACATATCCGTGTTCCTGCGGTCCGCGTTTTGCACGGGTACAAGAGCTCATTCATTTGAATGGACTCCCGCGCTCCGGGACACACAGGGAAGAAGTCCCTGCATTTCTTCTGAAAACGCAGCCCGCACGGGAACCTCCAGTGCGGGCGGCGTGCCATTAGAATTAACGTCACCCACCCGCGGATCCACATTCTTCTGTGCAGGTGGTGCGGCTGCACGGATTTTTGTGCGGATCCGCAGCGGCACCACCCGCACAGATGTGAACCTAGCCTTAGAGTAGAGAATGGTTGGAACTCCTTTCAGGATTATTTTGTTACTTCTGTGTCCCATCGGGGAGATTTCCTACCAGATCCCAACCCAAAGGCATGACAGGGAATGAGGACCCTCCAAGGCTATATTTAGATGTCTGGCCAACAATGCTGAACCTATGAAAAGCAATCCACAGTGGATTGCTTTTCAGTGACTAGGTAATATGTCATCTCCCCACCACCTGTTTCCACCAAGCAAATGCCATAGCACCTCACCGCAACTTATTGCAGTACACACATTTGCAGGGTGGTAATGGCAGGGTCCTATGTAGTTAAAATGCATTCAGCAGCGGTACTGCCTGTCAGATGCAACGGGGGGGGGGGGGGGGAATTTTCTGCAGCAGCCATGAAGCATGGCATGTGTACATCCCCATCTCTCTGCCTTTGTAGCTTAAAAGTGGTGGTAAAAATGCAGCTCAGGCACCTATTTCACCCCCCCCCCCCCAACCATGAGCCCTTAGACAATTGTCATTGAAACAGGTACCCCCAATGAAACATTTGCCGCTGCCGCCGCCCCCCCCCCAATTTCAGTGACAACTGTAAAATCCTATCACCAAAGACAACAGTCACCAGGAAAACTAGAGAGGGTGGATGTCCGGAGAGAGACAGCAATTAACACCTGACAGGGGTTCTAACACACCAGATTCCCAAACACTGGTTTGGGGCTGTGAGGGGGGCCTTTAACATTCATTGTTTTGTTCTTGTGGCCCCCGCAGACTGTTTTACCTAGGTGCTTTTATTTTTACCCACCTCTTACTTTTTTTGTGTTATTCATCACTTTTTTCCCTTTTTTCTTTTTTTTTTTTATACCAAACTCAATTCACAAAGCTGGCAAGTATACTACATTTAAAAAAAGTGACAGTTATGTTCAGTTCAATGTAAAATGAAGATTAGAAGTATAGCTAAATTAGAGACCCTTAGCCCCCTTGTACACGGGACACTTCTAAACGATGGAAACTGACTGCTGGAAAACCTAGGTAAAAAAAAGTCTGTTTAGAGGCATTTGCATAGCGCGTTTATGTTTAGAAGTGTTTTTTTTAAAGATAAGCGCAGGAGAACCTCCCAAATGCCCAGAATGCACTGAAAAGTGGTAAATTATTAAATATTTCAAACTGTTTCAGAGAAATACAGAGAGTAGAAGCAGAGACAGCAGTATGTGTTGAGATTAGCTTAGGTGTGAGTTGCTCATTAACATTTCTTTTGTTTCCAAGGGTGGGAAGGTGTCTGGAGGAGGCAGTCATTAAGGTCACCTGGCAGGGGGTCATGAGGAATTCAGGTGTGAATGGTCATTAACATATCTTTTGTTTCCAAGGGTGGGAGAGGTCTGAGGTGTGAATTGGTCATTACAATGTGTGAGGAGATTGGCAGGAACATCCTGTTTTCAGGGTTTTGTCCATCCAAATACCCTGAAAACACTTTGCATGCATTTTTCATGATGACAGCATCAGGAACTGGAAGAGTTAAAAAAAAAAATTCAGACGCAAGCGCTTACAAACGCGATTTGCCACGTTTACAAGCGTTTTGCGTTGGAAATGCTGATAAAATTGACTTCTGAACGCATGTTTTCTGCGTTCAAAAAAACGAATGTAAACTCAAATACCTGTAAATGACTGTAAACGACGATGTGTGCATGGACAGATAGGGAGCCAGCATCAGATGTGGACCTTCTTTTTTTTTTCGGGTCGCGGCCAGTATTCATCATGATTGGCTTTTGATCTACTTCGGGGACATTTTTTTTTTTTTTTTTTTTTTTTTAATAAAGTACTTGTCAAAGCCTGGCTCTGTGTTTTTACTCACTTTTACCACTACATGGTGGTGGGGGGCAGGATCTGGGGGCCAGATTCCAACAAGTCATGCCCGCACCCCCACAACCACTGGGCCAGGGTTGAGTGGTTATCCTCCTCAACATGGGGACAAGGTGCTTTAAGGGGGGGGGGGCCCCCATACCCCAATGTACCCCTCCCTCATGTTGAAGGCATTTGGCCTAGTATGATTCGAGTGGGGGGGGGGGGGATTGGGTTGGGGGTGCAGGGGAATCGCACCCAACTGCACGCTCAAATGAGGGTCTGGTAAGGATTTGGGGGGGGGGGGACCCCTACGCCATTTCTTCTATAATTTTGATGTGGGGTTCCCCTCAAGATCTATACCGGACCTAAGTGTCTGCTATGGATTTGGGGGGACCCCATGCAGTTTTTTTTCTTCATTTTGCTGTGGGCTTCCCTTTAAAATCCATACCAGATCTGAAGGCCCTGGAACAGATTTAGAGGGAGTGGGGGTGGGGAGGGGGGGGCGGTGATGTTTTTTTCCCTCAATTTTTAACAGCTAACAATTATTTTGTTTTTGTTAGTTGAGAACCCCGCTGACAGCTGATGAGTCATCTGTTAAGGACATGGTGGCTGGTTTGCCAGCCTGCTCCTTAACAACCAGATATTTACTTGTTGTTAAGGACGCTGGCGTCTGCCGGCTAGGAAAGTTCCTGCTGTACTTACCCGAGTGGGCGATGATTGGTCTGTGCCTACACAGCCAGTCCAGTGGCCTGGGGATATGAAGTCCCTGCTCGTCTCTCTCTTCTCTCTTTTGGGCTTCCAGCATGGATCAGAGTGATTCTGATTGGTCAGCGCTGGCACAGAGCATTTCTCCGATCCATCCCAGAAGTCCTGAAAAGAGAAGAGCAGGGGTTTTAACCCCCCCCCCCCCCCAAACCGCTGCACCAGCCGCATGAGCACTGACATTTCATCACACATGGGGATAAGTACAATGGATACTGGAGGGAGGGGAGGTTGTACAGTGTTAGTTCACTTTTTTCAATCTTTTCGGTAACGGTGAAGTAACCCTTTAATACCATTGCCGTCCGCCTGCTGTTTATAAACGGCAGGGCGGTGGCAGTCCAGGGGCGGGTTGCCGTTCATAAATGGCACCCGCCTTTTCTAGCTGTGCTCCCTGAGCGCGCAGCACCGCGATTCGGTGTCCGTTGTGTCCTCTGGACACAGTGAAACACCGATCGTCGGACGGGACCTCTGTGTGAGGTCCCGATCATGTGATCACTGATTGGCCAATCAGTGATCACATGCAAAGTAGTAAGCAAGATGTCACTTGTGACATCATTGCTTATTACGTGTTAAATCTGTGAATGATCACAGAGGTCACATGGTACAAGGCTATTCACAACAGCCTTGTACCATGTGACCAATCACAGCTCACACAATAGTTCTCAATGGCTGCAAGAATGCAGCCAGAGAGAAAGAGAAATGATTGCTTTTACATCCTATATGGGTGTAAAAGCAATCACTGTAAAAAAAATCATCACCCCCCACAAGTAGTACAGTGACACCATGGTGACACTGTACTGCTAGGGTGACCGTATGTAAAAAAAAAAAAAAATATATATAAAAAAATGAAATAAAAATGTAAAAAAAAATGTTTAAAAATTATAATTTTTAGTTATAAACTAATTTGCATTATTTTATTTTTTTTTTACTAAAAATATAACGGAATACATTTTGGCCAAGATTTATGATGAAAGATTATTTATTTGCAAAATTTTATAAGAAAAACACTTTTTTTCAAAATTTTGGACTTTTTCATTTACATAGCAAAAAAAATTAAAATCCCAGCGGTGAATAAATACCACCAAAATAAAGCTTTATCTGTCTAAAAAAAATGGTAAAAAATTCATATGGGTACAGTGTTGCATGACCGCGCAACTGTCATTCAAAGTGTGATAGCGCTGAAAGCTGAAAATTGCCCTGGACAGGAAGGGGGTAGAAGTGTCCGGACAGGAAGTGGTTAAGCTGCAAAGGCACCCTGATGAGGCTGTACACATGATGCTGCTGCGATGCTTGGCGGCAAACCTCGGATGGCACCACAATGACAAACCAAACACTAGGCTTGCAGGTCCAGCACAGTATTCCCCATTGAGAAGCCCCCTTTTTGGTGCCTCAAACAACACCGGAGGGCTCGTTTACACTTGCAGTTGGGGGGCAGTAAAACCCCACAGCTGAGTCATGCTTTTACCACCCCTCAACTGCTTCCCACTTCAGCGGTGAAGGCAGTGGCTCAGAGTGTACACGTCATGGCCATGATGCTTTGTGGTAGGAATTATACCTCTCTTGTATTTGGAGGGCACTATCTCCCCCACTGAGCGCAACCCCTTCGAGTGAACGGGGCCACGCTGCAACGGCATCACTGCCTGTCAAATGCTTTCGGAGAATGAAGCGAGTGTAAACATGGCCTGGAGCACCAAGGAAAGTGTGTACCGTTATCTACAATGTTCTCTGCCTCTTAGCCAAGTGCATTTCTAAATAAACTCGCATATTTGGTTTTCAGCAGGTGTGTGCGGATGAATGGGGTCACATGGGGGAAACATCAAACAGGTATTACCAGTGTGGAGGCTCTGGGGCAGGAAATGAGATCGCTGGAGAGGACACAGACGGCAAATCAACTGACAGAGGGCTTAACCCCTCCCTGCTCTACAAATCAACTGACAGAGGGCTTAACCCTTCCCTGCTCTACAAATCAACTGACGGAGGGCTTAACCCCTCCCTGCTCTATACCAATCAACTGACAGAGGGGTTAACCCTTCCCTGCTCTATAACCGGAGGGCTTAACCCCTCCCTGCTCTACAAATCACTGACGGGGGCTTAACCCTTCCCTGCTCTATACCAATCAACTGACGGAGGGCTTAACCCTTCCCTGCTCTATGCCAATCAACTGACAGAGGGCTTAACCCTTCCCTGCTCTATACAAATCAACTGACAGAGGGCTTAACCCTTCCCTGCTCTATATCAATCAACTGACAGAGGGCTTAACCCTTCCCTGCTCTATACAAATCAACTGACAGAGGGCTTAACCCCCCTGCTCTATACAAATCAACTGACAGAGGGGTTAACCCTTCCCTGCTCTATACCAATCAACTGACAGAGGGCGTTAACCCTTCCCTGCTCTATACAAATCAACTGACTGAGGGGCTTAACCCTTCCCTGCTCTATACCAATCAACTGACGGAGGGCTTAACCCTTCCTTCCTGCTCTATACAAATCAACTGACAGAGGGCTTAACCCCTCCCTGCTCTATACAAATCAACTGACAGAGGGCTTAACCCTCCCTGCTCTATACAAATCAACTGACAGAGGGCTTAACCCCTCCCTGCTCTATACAAATCAACTGACAGAGGGGTTAACCCTTCCCTGCTCTACAAATCAACTGACGGAGGGCTTAACCCTTCCCTGCTCTATACCAATCAACTGACAGAGGGCTTAACCCCTCCCTGCTCTATACAAATCAACTGACAGAGGGCTTAACCCTTCCCTGCTCTATACCAATCAACTGACAGAGGGCTTAACCCTTCCCTGCTCTATACCAATCAACTGACTGAGGGCTTAACCCTTCCCTGTTCTATACAAATCAACTGACAGAGGGCGTAACCCTCCCTGCTCTACAAATCAACTACAGAGGGCGTAACCCTTCCCTGCTCTAAAATAAAAAAAACAAGTTTTGGCTTTATATAAACTTTAAAGTAGAACTGAAGATTGTTTTTTTTTTAGTTTTGGATAGAGTGGAGGGGGATAGACCCCCTGTCAGGTTTCATTGCTGTCTGCACCCCCAATAGGTAGATTCCCCTCTCTATTTGTCCTGTTTACTGAGAGTGAAAGACAATCAAACGTTTGGAGCAGTCTCATGTTTTTTGGGAGTTACCCTCTACATCAGGGCCCCCCTTACTTCAGGGACCCCATCTGAGTCCTTGTTACATCAGAGCCCTTCCTACATCAGGGTCTCCCCTTATATTAAAGTCCCCATCAGAGCCTCCCTTAGATCATAGTCTCCCGACAAGATCCCTCCCTTACATCAGGGACCCCACTAGAGCCACTGCCCCCCCCTTTCATGAAGCTCTCCAACAGAGTCCTCCTTTACATCATGGACCCCACCCGAGTCCTCTCCCCCTTACATCAGGAACCCCCCAAAGACCTCCCTCCCTTACATAAGGGACCCTCCCACAGTTCTCCCCCCATCAGGAGGGACCCCATCAGGGCAACCCTTCCCCCCCCCCCCCCCCCCCATTTCATGAAGCTCTCCAACAGAGTCCCCCTTTACATAAGGAGCCCACAACAGTCCCCCTTCCCTCCCATCAGGGATCCCACCAGAGTCCTCCCTCCCTTACATCAGGGACCCCACCAGAGTCCTCCCTCCCTTACATCAGGGACCCCACCAGAGTCCTCCCTCCCTTACATCAGGGACCCCACCAGAGTCCTCCCTCCCTTATATCAGGGACAGCATCAGAATTTCCCCCCCATTACATCAGGTACCCCACCAGAGTCCTCCCTCCCTTACATCAGGGATCCCACCAGAGTCCTCCCTCCCTTACATCAGGGACCCCACCAGAGTCCTCCCTCCCTTACATCAGGGACAGCATCAGAATTCCCCCCCCCCCCATTACATCAGGTACCCCACCAGAGTCCCCCTTCCCTTACATCAGGGAGCCCACCAGAGTCCTCCCTTACATCAGGGACCCCACCAGAGCCCCCCCCCCCCCCATTTCATGAAGCTTTCCACCAAAGCCCCCCTTTACATCAAGGACCCCACCAGAGTCCTCCCCCTTACAACAGGGACCACCCCGGAGTCCTCCCTCCATTACATCAGGGACCCCACCAGAGACCTCCCTCCATTACATCAGGTACCCCACCAGAATCCCTCCTACCTTACATCAGGCACCCCACAGAATCCCCCCTACCTTACATCAGGCACCCCACCAGAATCCCCCCTACCTTACATCAGGCACCCCACCAGAATCCCCCCTACCTTACATCAGGTACCCTACCAGAATCCCCCCTAACTTACTTCAGGGACCCACCAGAATCCCCCCTAACTTACTTCAGGGACCCACCAGAATCCCCCCTACCTTACATCGGGTACCCCACCAGAATCCCCCCTAAATTACTTCAGGGACCCACCAGAATCCCCCCTACCTTACATCGGGTACCCCACCAGAATCCCCCCTACCTTACATCGGGTACCCCACCAGAATCCCCCCTACCTTACATCGGGTACCCCACCAGAATCCCCCCTGCCTTACATCGGGTACCCCACCAGAATCCCCCCTAACTTACTTCAGGGACCCACCAGAATCCCCCCTACCTTACTTCAGGGACCCACCAGAATCCCCCCTACCTTACATCGGGTACCCCACCAGAATCCCCCCTAAATTACTTCAGGGACCCCACCAGAATCCCCCCTACCTTACATCGGGTACCCCACCAGAATCCCCCCTACCTTACATCGGGTACCCCACCAGAATCCCCCCTACCTTACATCGGGTACCCCACCAGAATCCCCCCTGCCTTACATCGGGTACCCCACCAGAATCCCCCTACCTTACATCAGGTACCCCACCAGAATCCCCCCTAAATTACTTCAGGGACCCACCAGAATCCCCCCTACCTTACATCGGGTACCCCACCAGAATCCCCCCTACCTTACATCGGGTACCCCACCAGAATCCCCCCTGCCTTACATCGGGTACCCCACCAGAATCCCCCCTGCCTTACATCGGGTACCCCACCAGAATCCCCCCTACCTTACATCGGGTACCCCACCAGAATCCCCCCTGCCTTACATCGGGTACCCCACCAGAATCCCCCCTACCTTACATCGGGTACCCCACCAGAATCCCCCCTACCTACATCGGGTACCCCACCAGAATCCCCCCTACCTTACATCGGGTACCCCACCAGAATCCCCCCTGCCTTACATCAAGGACCCCACCAGAATCCCCCCTGCCTTACTTCGGGTACCCCACCAGAATCCCCCTGCCTTACATCAGGGACCCCACCAATGCACCTGACCCCCCCCATTTCATGAAGCTCTCATAGAGTCCTCCCACCTTACATCAAGGACCCCACCAGTCCTGACCCTTACTTCAAGGACCCCACCAGTCCTGACCCTTACTTCAAGGACCCCACCAGAGTCCTCCCCCCCTTTCATTAAGCTCTCCATCAGAGTTCCCCCCCCTTACATAAGGAACCCCACAGGATTGCCCCCCATCACAGTCGCCGCTACATGGAGGTGATGGCTGAAGTGGAGGGAACAGACAGACTTTGCTGATCTCAATCAGGGTTGTCACCTCATCCCTTCCACCTGAACACACATTAATGACACAGGTTGTGGGGTGATGTATTGCAGAGACGGCACTCAGTGACTTGATTTAGCACCCTAATGAGCCCCAGAACCTGTGTCATTGATGTGTGTTCAGGTGGAAGGGATGAGGTGGCAGCCCTACTCTCAATCCTCAAGCTGTGCACAGGAAGGAGGGCTGAAGGTGGCCCATGGGCCGTAGTTTGGACTCTGGTCCAATCCATCAAAATCTGCTGGTCCATCTATAACACTCCCCTCCCCCCAGAATCACAATGCTGCTGTCCACAGGTGCCCCCTGTGCTCCTCCATCCAGAGTGGGGGCACTCTAATACAGGAGGCATATTACTGGCCAGATCACCAGGTGACAAAAGATGGAAAAATCCAAGAAAACTAATGCAGCCGCCACATCTAATGGTTGGTCATCTGCAATTGATCACATTTTCAGGTTCAGGTGCTGCTGACATTCTAACTTAAAAATTGGGGGTGACCACTCAGCACTTCCAGTCCCAGTGACCCCAGATAGGAAGTAAGGGGAATCTCCCTACAGGGGACACCACAGCTGATAGTAGGGATGGGAAGGACCTGTCCCCATAGACAATAATGATAACCCTGCACCCTGGGGAAGAACCACAAGTCTCAGGCTGTCTGTGCCCGATCCAGACACGCTGTGACTTGTAGTCCCCCTCCCCAGGACAGGGCTCTTACCATGTCAGCCTCCTCCTCCTCCAGGGCACTGAAACTCCACACCACCAGGCCCTGCACCAGCAGCAGAGCAAGCGCAGCGGCAGCCAGGTACTTGTATCGGCGGCCGAGCTTGATGACCCGGGCGCTAGGCGCCATCCTCCGCCTCGGAGCTCCTCACTGTATGCCGTGCGATCGCGGCTCTCCAGCGCTGCGCGCCCACAGCCACCGCATTCCTGTGCCCCGGGCACGGCGCACCGCTCGCCCACAACAAATATGGTCGCCGCCGCCTGCTGGAATCCGTGGACGCGTCAGCACCATGGAGCAATCACTTCCGCCCAGCATGCGGTGCACACAGGGGGGCGTTCTTGGTTGCCTGGCAACCTGTGGCTGCTGTCCCACACCCATAATCCCCGTTCATTAGAGGAATGCAGGGCTCAGTATAGAAGGCATAAGGCTACAGAAGTCTAAAATGTAACACATTGCAGCTTACCGATCGTTACATGTGGTGGCTTCATTACTTTTCTTCATTTAGTGTTTTCCCACCTCTGTTTTCACCTGGTGATCCGGTACACCCTCCTGTACTCGAGTGCCCACACTCTGGATGAAGGAGCACAGGGGGCACAGCAGACAGCAGCAATGTCAATAAAAACAAAGAAAAAAGGAGGAACTGGCTGTGTTGTAGGTCGAGGGGCTACCTTTGGTTAACCACTTGCCTGTCAGACCCTTAAACCCCCGTCCTCCCCAGGCCAATTTTCAGCTCAGTCGCACTTTGCATGGCAACGCTGTACCCATATGAAATCTTTATAATTTTTTTTAAACAAATAGAGCTTTCTTTGGTGGTATTTAATCACCACTGGAAGTTTCATTTGTTGCACTGTAAATGAAAAAAGCGAAAATTAAAAAACAAAACAAAAAAAAGGTTTATTATAAAATTTTGTGAACAGGTAATTGTTCTCCTTTACTGATGTGCGATGATCATGTTGCACTGATGGGCACTGATAGGTAGCACTGATGGGCACTGATAAAGAGGCACTGATGATGCTGCACTGATATACAGCAATGATGGTCACTGATATACGACACTGATTGGTGAAAATGATGGGCACTGATGGGGGGGGATTATTATTATACAGTATTTATAAAGCACCAATAGTTCGCTCAGCGCTGTACATTACAAAGGGGGACAGAACATGTGACAGAACAAATAACAATGCAAAACATGAGGGGATCGAGGGCCCTGTTCTTTGGAGCTTACAATCTAGGAGGGAGGGATGGTGGCACAGGAGGAGATAGCTGTGGGGGATGGGGTGGTAGGAAGAGTGGAGGAGGTCGGCAAGTTAGCAGGGGGTGGGGTAGGCTTCCCTTAAGAGATGGGTTTTCAGGGTGCGCCTAAAGGTGAGCAGAGTAGGTGATAATCTGATGGGTTGGGGCAGGGAGTTCCAGAGGATGGGTGACACCCTGGAGAAATCCTGGAGGCGGGCATGGGAGGAGGAGACCAGGGAACTAGAGAGAAGGAGGTCTTGTGAAGACCTTTGGGGGGCGGGAGAGAGCGGGTACCCGAATTTGACAGGTACCCGCTCCCACTTCCGCACCGATCGCCTAGGCAATCAGAAGTGGAAGGTTTCCTCCCTTCCTCCCTCTTCGTAGTCTTCTTGGACACATGACAGGTCCCAGAAGACTACAGGACCATTCAGGAGCGCAGAGCTACTCGCGCATGCGCAGTGGGCACCCGGCTGTGAAGCTGCAAGCTGTAAAATACAAAAAAAAAAAAAAAAGGTAAAAATAAGATACACTGGGATGAACAACCATTTTGTTGATAGTCCATAGACAGTTGGACTTGTGGTATGAGTTTTTCCAATTAAAGTTCTTTGCATTGCATGCATTACGATTCAGAGATTTGGCTTCAGTATTTGGAACATTAATGGAGGACCTTGCCATATTTTTGTGTTTCCAGGACAAGCCTTCATGATTTCGTTTTTTTTAAAGTCAGGTGGGAAATTCCAAATTGTTTTTGTAGTGGTTATAGTTTTAGCCACCTAAAAAGCAGTTGCTGGGTAAACTCCCATTTTAGCAACTGCATACATTGTTTTTTTTTTATCCTAAAGGATGCCAAGTAGACCTCTATGGCAGTGGGGGGTGAATTAGCTTACAAATAAGATTTTGTTTTATCTTCAAATACAATGTCTAAGGACTTGGCTAACAAACCTTGGAGAAGTGTTGTCTTTCAGATGTTGGAGACATGTAACTTGAAATGCTCATTTGCAAGTGAAGAACAGGATGCCATGAAAAGCTATCTTGTGTTGACACCAACTTCCATGAATTACAAAGACTTTAAACTAATGGACTTATGAAGCAATGGAATGTACATTTTTTTTTTATCTCTACCATCATTTTTTTATCTCTAGATCTTTGTCTTAAAACCATTTACAAAAACCTGATAATCATTTTAAAACCTGTATATCCTGAACCATCTGTATACATGTAACTCCTGAGATGAGATGCTACAAAATGGCTTTGCATAACGTATTGGGTGTCTGAGTATTTGCACACTTATGCTCAGACTGGGTAGAATAAGTTGATACTTTGGGAGGCTTTCTTTAAAATTATAAGAAGGGTGAGTGAAAGTTATCACTCCAGCCAGATTATTGAATAACAGGGATATTTTAGAGGCTGGTGAAGAGAGATGTAACCGGTTTCAATTTCATATTTTATATGAGCCATTATGAAGCATTCAATACCTCAAATCACAATTCAACCCTTCTAGTTGATTATATGTTCACTATTTATGAATCAGTTCTGCATCAAGAAATGATTAAAGTGGGGAATATGTAGTATATTGTGTGTAATATATATAACCCAGGTGCAGTAGGTTGTATGTGAAGGGTCAAGAGGACCGAGGCATGAAGCCTGAGCAGCGGTGCTGCTAAAGAGAGCCAGGAGGCTGAATATTTTCATTTGTATTGATGGTGGATACCCCTGTGTGGGAAATATGTTACTATTCCGCCCGTTGGTATCGGTGGGAAAAATAGCGCCCTATTGTTGGTGTCAGTGGGATGAATATTGCCCCATTGTTGGTGTCAGTGGGAGGAATAGTGCCCCATGTTGGTGTTGGTGAGAAGAATAGTGCCCCATTATTAGTGTCGGTGGGAAGACTAGTGTCCCATCATTGGTATTATTGGTAACAATAGTGCCCCACTGTTGGTGATGGAGGGATGAATAGTGCCACAATTGTTGGTGTCAGTGGGAAGAATAGTGCCCCATTGTTGGTGTCATTGGGTGGAATTATGCCCCATCATTGGTGAAGTGAAAGAAATGGTGCCACACATCATTAGTGTTAACGATAGCAATCAGTGGGAGGAATAGTGCCCCAAGGGCCACCTAAATGCAGGCATAGTGCAGCATCCGGCCCACAGGCTGCAGTTTGGAGACCACTGAGTGAGACCATTTGTCAAGTTTCATTTCTGTTTGTGTCCCTATTGAGAAGATTCAGCTCTCTATTCCTCCTGGTAACTATTGCCAAGACAGTGAGGGGAAACCCCAAATTATAGAGTTGTCTCAGAACAAGAGGTAAGGGGAAATCTTCCTCGGGGGACCCCCATTCAGCCATGCTCAGAGTGTTATGCTGTCATCTACTTTAGTTTTCGCCTTATCTCTGCACATCCAACTAAGTCTATGGCCTGCCGAAAACAGGCTTCACACACTGCTATCTAACAAGCATCAGAGGTTCCATGGTCCAAAGAATGCATGGTGATGGCTTGACACTTATGAATGATTCTTTTTTTTTTTTTTTTTACTGAAAGGGTGAGTCTGTCTAAAAACCCGTTTTTTCAGTTTTAATGAAGTGTAAAGAAAGCGTTGAATATAAATTCCTAGATGTGTGTTATATAGGGTTTCCCAGTATCCAGGGTCCACATTCTTGTGAACAATCCACATGCCTCACCCTAGGCAATCCATAATACAATGCTCTATAACATCAGTAAGTGGCTGTTATATAATAGGGCCCTGCTAAGTACTGTACAGTATGTGGCATTTACAGATCTGGTCAAAAGTTTGCATCCCCTTGGAGAATTGGTAATAAGCAGTTTGTACCATTTTGATAGAAAATATGAGTGAGCAGGCAAAACACATTTCACTTTTTTCTTATGGGATTCATATTCTGTAACTGTGGGTCATAACAGAATGGCACAATCATAAAAACATGGCAACAAGTAAACCAATTAAATGCCCCCTGTTCAAAAGTCTGCATATCCTTAGTTCAAGGGGCGGACTGACCATTTGGAAACTCGGGCACTGCCCGAGGGCCCAGGGTCAGTAGGGGACCCCATGAGATGCCCCTGGTACCTTTTTCATAGGCTTTTTTGAGTTTAGGCGAGGACACAGGGACCCCATGATCCCCTGTTGCCTGGGGGCCCCATTGAGTTGTCAGTCCCTCCCTGCTTAGCTCTTAATATGGTGTATTGCAGTATTATGTAAGTATGCAGTCTTCTATGATAATTGTGTACGAGGCCCCAAATTCTTATAGGTGGTATAGCTGCCCATTCATCTTGGCCAAATGCCTGCAGGTCATGCAAAGTCTTTGGTCGGCTTGCCTGAACCGAATGTTTGAAATCTCCCCAGAGTGGCTCAATGATGTTAAGGTCAGGAGACTGTGATGGCCTCTCCAGAACCTTTTTCTGTTGTAACCTCTGGAGGGTCAACTTGGCATTGTGCATAAAGTCCAAGAGCGTCCCATGTGCAGCTTTCATGCAGAAGATTGCAAATTGTCTGCCAGTACTTTCTGATAACATGGTGCATTCATCTTACCAACAATTTTCAGTAGATTCCTCATGCCTTTAGCACACCCCAAAAACACCAATGAGCCACCACCATGCTTCACAGTGGGGATGGTATTCTTGTCACTGTATGCCTTTTGACCCCTCTCCAAACGTATTGTACCCATGTTTTTTTGTGGCATTGGTGCAGTAAAGGCTTCTTTCTGGCAACTCAACCATGCAGCTAATTTTTGTTCACGTATCGTCGTCAATGGTTTATTTACCGCAAGGCAAACAAGGCATTTATCTTGTGCGCATTTTCAGGGGGGCAGTGCTGTACCGGAAGAATGGACACATGTGAGGTTGGGGACCTGGTGAGGCACTGAAAGAGCTCTGCTCCCGCCA